TCTCCTCCTTGGTTGTTCCAGCTGGTGCCAAAGCTTTCTAGAAACTACCTGAAGGAAGGATACATGGAGAAAACGGGGCCAAAGGTAGGATATAAAGTATTTCTCATGTATTATATTTTGCCAGAGAGGCAAAGCTGTAACACCATACATTTTTATCACCTGGGAGCAAACATTCAAAAAAAATCCAAAACCACTTCACAAACTCACTGCCCCTTCCTGCAAGCCCTCGTGGTACAGCTGGCCCAGACCCTGGCTATGGTGGCTCCTGATGACCCAGAAGCTGCCTGTTCTCAACTCCCCCAGCCCATCAGGGTCTTCCAAGTGACTTGAGACTCCTGGATCATGCCTGGTAAGAGAGAACCTATGCTGTTTCAGTGTGTAATCCAGCATTTTTGCCTCTTCAGCAAACAGAGGGATTCAAGAAGCGATGGTTCACCATGGATGACCGACGGCTCATGTATTTCAAAGATCCCCTGGTAAGAGGAAGGTGCATGGGCTGCCTGTTGGGAATTATCTGCAATAATAATACTAGTAATTATAATAATAGTAATAATGATAGTAATAATCTGCAGTGAAGCTCAGGCTGGTGGGAGAGCCAAAAGAGCACAAAGCTCTAACTGCTCTGAGGCTCTGCCTGGTGTTCAGTGTGCAATAGTCCTGTGCATAGATACCAAAAATTCCTTGGAAGCCCTGTTCACTGGGCATTCTGCATCTGGATTTTGGTCTCTCTGGTGTTGGTGCTGTACTGTGGGTGCCCCTGTGGGATGAGCAGGGGTTCTTGGGGTGGCTGGTGCTGTTGGGGTTTGGCTCATGGGACTTGTGGCTGCTGCAGGGTGAGCCGTGTCCCAGCTGTCTGGGACCCAGTGCCCCCCTCACACTCACACCCGCCTGACTGCTCTGCTGTCTCCTAGGACGCCTTTGCTAGAGGGGAAGTTTTTATTGGGAGCAAAGAAAACAGCTACAAGGTGCTGGAAGGGCTCCCACCGTCCACGCAGGGAAACCACTGGCAGCACGGGATAACCATCGTCACCCCGGATCGGAAATTCCTCTTCGCCTGCGAGACAGAGGACGACCAGCTGGAGTGGATCACAACCTTTCAGAAAGTCATCAGCCGGCCAATGCTGCCTCAGGAATACGCAGGTGTGTTTGCTGGTGGGGGCTGGATTTGGCTCTGCTGTTTCCCAAGTGTTGGAGGATTTAATGGCCGGAGGGGGACTGGGGATGCAGCGACATCGCTCCCTCCTGTACGATGTGAGCAGGGCAGCCCACGAAGGAGGTCAGGGGAGGATACAAAGGCTGTTTGAGCAGAGAGGGGCTCACAGTGGGAGGAGGAGGATGGTATCTTTCCCTCTTCCATTGCCTCTGGTATGATGTCCATGGTGCTGTAAGGATCAGTTGTACAGTTATAAGAATAATCGGATCCAAGGAGCATCAGCACAACAAGAACCATTAGCAGGGTGGGCTTATGCAGGGCTGTCACTGCTTGCCCAGTGCTTATCCTGCTTTTAACGTTCTTTTTCTCTGCTTTTTCCTTTCAGTGGAAGCCCATTTCAAACATAAACCTTAGCTGGGACTGGCTGGGCAGACCTGAGGAGTGAGCTTCTGTTTACAACACAACGTGGTTTTATTTGAAATGTTTAAAATAATAATTAATAATAATAACAGTAATAATAATAATAATACTTCCCTTTCCCCTCATCATTCACTTGATCATGTTGGAAACCGAGAAGGACGGCAGCGGAACTTTGGAGAAGATGCTGATCCAACTTGAAATTCAGCTCCATGGGATGGGACAGGTGGTCCTGCCACCCCATCACCCGACACCTGCTGGAAGGGTTGCCCCACCCAGCTTCAGCAGGATGGCAGAGACTGTTGGTGGCTCATCCCAGGGGGAGAAGGAGCTTTTCCACATGCAGGTCCCTGGGCTCTGGAGCTGAGCATCCCCGCAGTCCCAGCTGGCTGCCAGCCCTTTCCAGGGGGCTGCAAGTCCCCAAGCAGTGACATCCTCGTGGGATGGGAAATTGCAGCCTGGAAACACCAGAAATGGTGCTGTGTAAAACGGCTGGGCCTCCCGATGGCATTGGGGTAAATGATAAGGAAATTACCTCTTTGCGGAGGGGTGGTGATGCTGTACCTGGACAGGGTCAAATGGGATTTTGGAAAGTGAGGAAATGGACATCATCAGCCTCGTTACTGCTTAAGGAAGGGCAGGGAGGAGGAGACTCAGTGGGGACAGAGCAGTGTTGCCCCAGCCCTGCAAGGGACACACCAACCCATGAGGTGATGCTGGGAAAGCAGAGCTTTGGGGGCCAGGCCTGTGCTCTGCTCCTGGGTCATTCCTGTTTCGTGGTTTAGGGGGGATTGCACCCTTTTATGGAGTGGGGGGGGGGTTGAGCTTTAGGTGCATTTTTGCTGATGGGCACATCAAAGCCTGTCCCAGCCTACCCCCAGCAGGCACGTCCCTTCTCCAGTCTTGGTGGTTGCACTTTTTTCCCCAATAATTCTCTCAATTTTTTTGTTGATTTTCTTTTTCCTGCCAAAAAAAAAAAAAAAAGAAAAAAAAAAAAGAAAAAAAAGCTGCTTGAAGTGACGTTTCAGCGCGGTGTTGAGCACTGTAATTCCTGCAGTCAGGGCGGGCGGGCTGGGACCTGCACACCAGGTGCTGGATTTTTACCCAAAAATGAAATTTCTGGCGTCTGTGAAAGGACCAGCCCCGGACACGGACCCGTCCAACGCGTTCCTTAGGTTGGTGTGTGTAACCGAGAGCATCTCATCAGCTGTGTGCATTCGTTCTGTCACTGGTAAGACAACTGTGGTACTAAATGTCATTCGAACCAATAAATTATTATTATGTCAGAGCCATGGCCGTGTGGTGCTGGGGCAGGGGAGGGAGGTGGGGTTCAAAAAGCAGGCAGAGCTCTGAGGGCTGTGGGACACTCACAAAACCATCTGCCCCACCCTGGGCTGCTCTTGGGGGTGTTGGTGAGGGAGAAGCTGCACATACATATACTAGGTAAATATATTTCATGCAAACTAAACAGTTATGTGTATTATTTTATATATTAGTTAGGTATATGTATAGTGTAGGTTTTATATGTTTTTCTCTGTAATACATCTATTTGTATGCACACACATACACATATATATATATGAATACATATATATATATACAAACTACTTATGATTATAGAAATAAATATTACGAAAGGGTTGTTGACTATTCACAGACACACAGGGAGGTATATATAGCACTGAGATACATACATTTAATTTACAAATATATAAACTAAATGTATTTCATACACCTGTCTATATAGACATTTTTATAATTGGGATTTTATAAAATACAGTTATATAAACGTGCATGCTTTTTATATAAGTATATAATTTATAAACATATAAATGTAAGAGGAATATATTGCATATAAACCTATCCACGTGTGCGTGCACAGCTATAATGATATATTTAGTTTGTATTAAAAGTATTTATAAATGTTACACACACACTCAGGCTCACTCATCCTTACTTACCAACCCAGGCACAGCAGAAGCAGGGAGAGGACAGACTGGACTCACTGCTTGTGTTTATAACTAGCTGTAAAGATTGTTTTTTGTGTATGTATAATTCAGAATAATATATTATAAATTATATGCCATACAATTATTTAATTACAATCTACACAAAAGGCTGTTTATATGGGTGTGTACATAACACAAATGTAACCTCACACTGGGTCGTATGTGCAGGACACAGGAGGGGACACTGCTGCTGGACACCTGTGGACACCTTTCACCACCCATTCCTGGCAGCCAGAGGCAATGAAATGATTTGGTTCTAAACCTCTTGTCGACATCCCAGATCATTTATTAAATGTCTGCAGCACCATCCCGGGTAGGCAGCTCTTCCTTAAACTTGCTGCAAATCAAAGCAATCCACCTCTTCTCCAGACATTCCAATAACCCCCTAGAGAATTATGCCTTTACTGCACTAAGGTGAAGCTGCAGCACTGAGGGCTGGATGACCCACAGTCAAATGCAGAGTGGAAAACCAGCAAGGAAAGTAAGGTCTCTGCATGGAAATCTCCCAGAAAGCAGCACTATTGCACATCCTGGTATAAAGTGTTTATTTGAGACTTCACAATTAACACAAAGTCTTCCTGTCAATGCTTTTTTTTTTTTTCCATACAGTCAATAAATTTGTATTAATCCCTCCCCCATGCATGATTGCTGTTTATTAATCTAAGCTTTTTTATTTTCACCGTGAAAAAATAAAGCGTTTCCCCACCCTTTCATCTGTTCCCTGCACCAAACTGTGCTGCATTACAGAGGAGATGGAGAATGGCTATGCCTACTGCTGGGGGTGAAGTTACTCCATTATTTATTGATTTATTCTTTTTAACAGAAAGTGTTAAATGAATCAATCACCCAAGAAAAATAAATATATCATAGAGAACCAGGAGTTCTGCAGTATCCCTTTCCTTTACACACAGCTCAGGTCAAACACATACACTGCTCACGGCAAACCGTGTCACTCACTGTCACGCCGTCGCCTGTACGCTGTTATGGACTTGCACTGACAAAGAATCTGTTCCAAAGGAGTAGAGCCACAAGCCAGAGGAGGTATTTTAGATGCCAAATGGAAGCCAATTACCCTGCATTCCACTCATGGGCTTTTACTCAAGAGCAAGTCAAATCTTGTGCTTTTCAGGAATTATCGGCTAAAAACACACGCGTGGGCTCGGCCAGAGCCAGACCTTGGGGAGGGGGACAGGCAGTAATGAAGGGTGTGCATGTTACTCATGGCAGTGGAAGCGAGTTCTTGTTTCAATGTCTCTTGCATGTGCATCTCAAATTATGCTGCTTGGCTCATCTCACAGTACTTTTGGCACCAGCCTCGCAAATAAATTATTCAATTGCTCCCCCTGCCTTTCGAGATCTTCCTTGGAGAGGGCAGAGGTCAAGGAGGCTTTCTCATAACAGAGACGGTACTGGGCAGGCCATGAAGGACAAGACCCATTTTTATGCTTTATTGAATTACTGTGCAAAAGGGAATACTGCATCAGAAACCGTAGAAGACTATATTTTAATCAGTCACCAGCCACTGCATCGGAAACCCACTAACAACTGCTCCGATTGGTTCGTTTGGCTACTTTTTGTTGGTTTCTTTCTTTTTTTTTTTTGTTTTTTTACATAAATAATATAGACCGACATTATAAACATTTCAGCAACCATTTCTAAAAGACCAGAGGAGCCCTTTCAGGCGCCAAGAAACAACTGCAGGATTCAAATTCCAAAAGTGTCTTTGGAGTCATCGAATCATCAGATTTACACGGCACCCAATGACAACAACATTCAGTCGAGCTCGATAGGACTGCTGTCTTCCTGACCATCTTCTGTGTCATCATCTTCCCCAGTTCCCATCAGACTGTTTAAAAGATTTCCTAGAATAAAATAGAGGACAGTTAAAATTGATAGTTTTACGTTCTCATCTCAAAAACTTTTAACTGATCTCCTTCCATCCTGCTCTATGGTGCAGATTTCTGTAACAAAAAAATTCCCCAGAACAAACAAACAAACCAACAACAAGAAAAACACAACCAAAAAAAAACTAAGAGGAGAGTGTTGTTTGAAGCAAGACATTAGTATTTTCACAGTGGTGTCCATTAAGAATATTGACTTGAGAAGCTGCACACTGTTAGCCCTACACAGGACTGCTGCTCCTTACTGATACTCTTCCTTCTCTAACAATACACTGGAAAAACCCATGAAACTTATGTATTTATGTGCTACACTTGCACCCTGAGGGGAAAACACAGCCAACCACATGAGCAGCAGTGAAACTCTCAAAAAGGCAGCAACAGTCCTGCATCACGCTGTAAAAAACTTGTTCGAAATTCAAATGCACTTAAAGGTGCTTGAATTGCTGAAAAGCAAATTACGGATGGTAAAAACATGATTGTTCATGTTTTTCACCAAACTTTGGATATCAGTGAATTGATATTTGTAGGTAAAGCTTCAAGTCAGTTTACAAACAAAGAAGCTTAGTTCCTAAGGGCAAACATTCAATTTTATTCACCTTTTATTCGAGAGCCAGGAAATGAGGGTTGAAATTCTCGATTCCCTTTCATTTCTTGTGAAAGGGCGGTATTAGAACCCTACCAGAGCCCCAGACTTGACTTGAAGAAAATTAGCCACTGAAGTCTGAGGAAATTAAGCTTTAACACCATGAAGATGCTTCTTAATGTTAGGAAGTTATACCATAATGTCAAAAATTAAACATGAGTCATTTACGTGCTTCTCCCCTTCTCAAACACGTAAGGTCTACTAACTCCAGCAAACTAATATCACATGCAACCAATCAATCCTGTATTCTACAGCAGGGACTGTTTCTACAGGCTATGGAAAGAGTTAAATATTCATTAGAACAGATTATCTGTTTCCAGCACAGATGCTTTATCTAAGTCTGTGGTACCTACAAACCAACCTTACCTAGCAATCCTCCGTAGGACGAGGTCTGCTTGGGCGGAACTCCAAAGAAAAGCTGTCCTATTCTATCTAGGTACTGAAATGACACAAGATGAAGAAAAATGTCATTTATTCCATTTACTGGTGGAAATACTGTGGATAGCAGTCACCCACACAAGGTAGATCTCCAACTTCTATTTACAAGTCACAGAACAGGAGACAACCAGCTATTATTTAACTAATTCAGTAGGTTAAATCCTGTTTATGAGTAACTCACCTCATTATACATGGGATCCCTTTTCAGAGAAGGTTGATACTGTTCACACAATACTGTAAATACTGTTAGTTTTCCTCTAGAAAGGAAACAACCAAAAATGTAATCTCAGTAACAACTGAAAAATAAACCAAGAACAACATGACAGAAATCAGACTGTACCCATCAACTGCCAACAACAGAAACCAGATGAAGTTTAGCAGTGGTTGAACAAAGGGTGGGCCCTTCTCTATTGAAGGATGTTTCTGTGTGTATGTCGTAAAAACAACTGATGCGCTGGTCTTATTTTTTAAGCAGAGAAATCTGAAAAAGGAAAGAGAACAGGGCAAGTTAAAAACAAAAGGTAGAAAAACAGTTTCACACACAGAAAGAGAAAGGGAAGCCAAAAGCTCAACAATCTACTTCATTTGTGCACAGAGGCCATCTTAGGCTTAAACTGATGGCAAAACCCAAGTGGAAGAGGTACATCTTTGGGAATGGTTTGGTCATCAGCTGAGGAAGGGGAAAATCACTACTAGAACACACTGTGGAATAGGCAGGTTGGGAGGGAGAACAGACAATAAATAATAAAGAATGAGTTTAACCAGGATTTAAGCAGCTTGTATAGAGGATGGTTACTAATAGAGGGCATCAATTTAATCAAAATGTGGAAAGACTGGCTACGCTGTAATTCACATTTAACATGATATTGCACTTACTGGTCTGGAGATTACTGTGCTGAGGTAACAACTGAATTAAATCAAATCCAAAACACACCTCCTTTCAGCACGTATCTGTCAATGTCCGATGACTCTACCATTCTATTGGCACCACCTCAAAATAACGTGGCATCAGGACCACTAATAAGTTCAACACACAGGCCTAGAAGTCTCATAATAAAGCTACACTTCGAGCTCCCAAGCCATTTGTCCCCAGCCAACAGATCAATCCCCCAAACCGATCAAATCTGAGTTCAGGTCCAGTTAATTTAACTGGCAATCTCTGCCAGTCCCATTGGCCTAACAGGACAAATGTGGGACAAATGCTGTCAGCAGGCTCTAGGAAGGCTGCCACGAGCCATCTCATTTTTGATGGCAGGCTGGCCTCTAATTCTGTACCCTCACATGTGCAAGGGCTTGGGGCTCTTTTGCCTCACTGCTAGGCAAGGAACTGCAATTATTTTCATTAGAGTACAAACTGCTATGTAAGAGGATTTAGCAGTGTTTGAGATATAGGCCAGTAGAGGATGCAGTAGTAGTGTGGTATAAACACTGAAAAAATAGTCTCTTACTCTTAATTTCTGCCCAGAATTTCCCCCCCTCCAGAGCAAAGCCCTATAAAATTGCTTAAGAATTCTGCTTATACTGGATTTCCATACAGGATTTGAGCTACTGCTCAAAATCACAGCAATCTATAGCAACCAGCTAGGGAAAGGAGGACAAATCTGATATGACAGCTCAGTGCTGCCAAAAGAGAGACAAACTTGCTCGCACCTCCTCCCTCTCCCCCAACACCTACTCTCTCCCTGACTCCCTGCCACACAGTCCTGTCTCCACCTCCTCCTCAGACTCCTCCATGAGCTGCTTTCCCTGACTGAAGAAAGCCATCAGCTGATTAAACACAGTAAAATTGGCTTTGTCAACCTTCATTCTGCATGAGCTCTGCAAAAGCACATAATAGCTTGCATTCCCACCTCCTACAAAATAAATGCCTGAAGTAAATGAGAGCCAGCAGCAACTCTGTCAAACCAAAAGCCATAGTGCTGCTGCTCAAGGACCAGGGTGACCAGGACAAATTGTCTCTGAGGATGAGACTGAGAGCAAGAACTGTGCTAAAGGTAAATACAGAGCCTGCTTAGGTCCAGTCTTTGTAAGAACATCGAGGTAAGCCCTCACTGGACATAAAGTGGTATTAACAAAGCTAAGAATTGTGCTTTCAGGGTCAAACAGATTGCATTAATTCTTCAGGCAATTAACAGGATTTCAGGTTTCAACCTTAATACGTTGGTTGTTTTTTTTTTTTTCCTCCCCAGTCTGACCAATTTAACACACCAGTTTTCAGATGGTTTTCTCCCGTTGTTACCACACAAAATGACTTTCAGAATCTCTGGCCAGTTTCACAGTTTCTTTCGAAAAGGATGCATGGTTAAACCTACAGTTACCATGATTAAACTGGCCCCAAAACACAATGTCATCTCAGCAAAATACTTGCACAGAAGTTTAACACCTACTGTAGTACTGCCTGAGCTACAAACATGTCCACCTCACTGCGGTATCCGCGGGACGACGAGTATTCTACCAGCATATTTGCACAGCCCTCACCATCTGTGGAGTGCAAGAAGTGATACCGAGATTCACTATAGTTTTGCTCTAGAAAAGGAAGAAAAGAAAAAGAAAATGGCTTTTAAGAAATCAATTCATCATACCTGAGTGTAAAACCAAAATGTATCAGGCTTTTACTTTATTAGCTGGTAAAAGAACAACAACTACACATGTGGTATATAAACAAGACAAAAAGTTTATGAGTTACAGACAACTTATAAAGGGAAATAATAATAAAATTTAACTTAAATACATTTGAAAAACTGCTATTAAATGCAGTTTATTCAATGCCAGCCACCACTGGCTTGAACTTTGGCCATATCATTTTATCTAACTGCATGTTGACACTTCACATGCTTTCATCAAGAAATTCCACATTAGACCATGTGCACCAAGAAGTCAAACAGCACCTTCAGCGTCCTTCTTTCTAAGTGCACAAAAAGAAGGCACTTCTTATTTTTAGTTTAGCCCACTCTCGCTATCAAAATTAAAATTGCTTCCATATGCTGAACAGAACAGCAATTATACAGGAAAAAGGTGTAAGAAATGGCAATGATTTGTTAGAACTTGAAGCAAAGCATCAATCAGTGCAAAAATCACTGCAATGACAGAACCCTGAGAGCTGCTAACTCTTGGAATTTGAGAGCTTTGTTTTAAAAATCTGAGTCTTTTCTGATGAAACTCAAAAAAATACAGACTAAGGAAACGTAGGCATTTTGCTCTTCAGGAGAACAGTGAGTAGACAGCTACAAAATGGAGATTTATACTTTCAGAATGCAACTGTTTCTTATCCTAATTGTAGCTCAGCTTCTAACTCAAATGTTCTGAGGAAAATCCTGCCTTTCTGGCTGGCAGCAGCCATCAGGACAATGTAAGTCCATGGGAGCAGCTATGGGATTGCCTATGGCACACACACAGATGATGAGCTGCAGTGTTGACCATTATTGGGTCAGGGTTGTTACATGAAACCACTGTCATCACTTGGCAGCTACTGAAAAACGTAAAATAAACAATCATTTTGCACAGTTACTCATGAGAAACCACAGAAGAAATGGCTTGTATTCAACTGTTCTCAATCACCTTTGTTATGCTTCGAACACAAGACTTTAAAAACTGGCTACCATCCACAATTAAAATAATTATTTAGAGCATTTTGTGTTTATCTGACATCCCATCACAAGTGATAAAATGGCTCATAAATCAAAGGCAAAAGCATTCATTCTGGAATAAGCCTGCTGGCCAACTTCTCAAAAAGTACTTATTCACAGTCCAGAGACTGTTTTGGACGCCAGGTGAAGTATTTCAATCTTTGTCATGTTTATCCAGGATTTAAAAACAAAAATCCTCACCAACAGAATAGCTTTGCTCCCCAGTAATTTTCCTCCTAATGACACAATCAAACTACCTCAACGTCTAAAGGTTCCATTGGTCATTTATAGAGAGCCTTACAGCACTTGTGTTTTGGGGTTTGCACTAATGTAGAGCTACAGCTCCACTTTTTTCCTGTTAACAACGTTAAGATGATGTTATTGCAAAAATCAGATAATAGCAGAACTCAATCAATTATTTCTGTCTCAGCTTCCTTAGATTATTTCCAAAGTAGATCTCACACAATATCTGGCTTTTCAAAGGAAAACACAAAAAAGTCAGTTGATTTTTCTTACCTTTCCACAGGGTAATAGCTAGTAACTGGTGTAGTTTTGGATGTCCAAGTTTTCCTGACCCTCCACTGGACCATTTTAGTGCTCTGGATACGAAAGCCACTCGTTCGGGAGAATTTGGATCCATTAAACTAAACAATTTAGCCAAGTTTTCTAGAAGCAATAGGATTCAAAAATATTTAGCATTAAGAGAAATAAGACGATCTGCTGCTTCTAGTGCATTTTATAAGGTCCATCTTTAAGTCAGGCAGCACTGGGTGTTCCAAGCATGCCCACAAAGTTATCAGGAATCCATCATTCTCTAATAAACTTTCCCCCCAGTCCATTTCTATGGGGAAGGTAACCCTGAGCCATGTGGGAATGCATCCAAACAGGATTGCAGCTTTCAAGACTATTAACAACAGTCACTGTGAAGGGAAAGCACAGCTAAACACCATCAAAATGAGTGCAAAGGTCACCTCACCTAAAAGGTCTTCTGCTACTTTTGCATCCGATTTCTCCAAAGACTCCAGAACCAGCATGGACAGATCAGCAGCACTGTTTTGCTACAAAACAGACACACGCTGGCAGTGATGAACGTATCAGCACATAAAAGAAAACACCAGCCAGAATTTTGGCAGCAGAGGGTTTAATGCTTTTATCAACGTCTACAGCCAAGGCACAGCATCAAGTCTCAGCCCTCCCTTATAAAAAAATTATAGTAATTTGATGGCATCAAAAGAGAAGCCTCCAGGAAAGCAAAACATGGTTATTGTTTGGATGCTCACAAACACTTCTGCTGCATGTTCCAGTTTGGCATAATCCTTCTTTGTGGAGAAAGGCTCAACAAAGAGATAAAACAAAAGATTACAAAGCAATTAGCCCAAACATTTACCCTTCAGAACTCGCCATTCAGCTCTCAAAATCTTAAAATAACAACTCCCTGCCACCCAAACTGCACACAAAAAAACAGTGACTTACCTGGTTATGACTGAAGAACAGCAAAGCCCCTGAATACATAAGTTCTCTTGCTTCTGCATGTTTTCCTTGTGACATATACCTGAAAAAACACCAAAGCCATGATAAAAATTACCATGAAGTTAGTTATACTTAAAGGATTCAAAGATCACTAAAATTTAAAATAAAGGCAACAAGGGATTATTTTTAAATCAGGTTAGCCTCAATAATGATGTAGCTTCAACTGCAAGTTGCAATTTGTTTTCCAGACTTCATGGAACAAAGCAAAGAATGAAAACTGAGAGCTACAAACCTGATTTGGGCTGGAACAAAGAAAAGGGAATGATGCCAGTTCACCTGAGCAAAAGATGCCAATGCACTGAACTACACCACTCAGAAGGTGACTTTTGAGCCTTTACCAAAGCCATCCCAGTGAAACACTTTTTGGAACAGCCCCTGGAGAGCTCACACACCCAGCACTGCCCAAGTGACTCCAGCCCTCTCCTCAATGATCTCCTTTCCACTGGTTTAAGTCTCTCTGACCATTACAACTCTACCAGGGGACAGCAGCCAGCAAGATTCACCAGCAACACTTTAAAAGAAACAAAATATAATGCTTCAAAACGCAGCTGCTGCAGCTTCCACCTTCCTTACTTAAGAGTTAACCAAGAAATGAGGATTGAAAGAACTTGTTCCCAACCTCAGGAGCCTCCGACCACAGAGCTGTGATTGCAGCCTCCTGTACATCATCACTACCAGTAACTAAAGCTCTTGTCACAGCTCTGTATTATAAGCACAGCATTTCCCATAAAAGCCCAGTTTAGGTGTGGCAGCAGACACAGTTTCCAAGTTCCATTTCTCTTAACTGCTTCTCAAGAAGTCTGTGTTCTCAGTAGTTAATAACAGCAGCTGAAGCTGATTTGCTCCTATCAGCAGAGATAAGCTGACCATGCTGCTTTAGTACCTGCAGTGTTTGGTTTGTCCTCTGTGCCACACCTGGCTGGGCTGTGCCTGTGTCACCCCTTTCCATTCCCTGGGGGGTCTGGGCAGCCCCTCTGCTCCTGCAGCCCCGAAGTCCCCCAAGGTGACCCAAAGCCTGAGAGTCCCGTGGGGTAACAGAGGGGTTGGTATCTCTGGGGGTGAAGCAGCAGGTGGCACAGCGAGGGCATGGGGGGGTCACACTAACCAGGGGGACAACTGGAGGGAGCAGTGCATCCCAAACTCTTGTGCTGTGCCTGAGATTCCTGTCACATGTGACAGCTCCAGGAACAGGCCCTACTGGTAACATCACACAGACAACAAACAAGGGAGGAGACAGTCCTCCGATCCCGCTCATCCGCTCCCACAAACCCCAAGGTCTCTGAAACAAAGCAGCAGAACTGAAATAATGGATAGCACAATGGTGGTGTGTTGGAATAAGGACCCTCAACAACTTGGATGTGCAACCACCACGGTGAATGTTCCACATGTGAGTCAAACAGATCCGCAGCTCCAACGTTTTCATAGTTGGGCTCACATCCAGGTTTGCTTCTAGGAGTTTGATTAAGTGTGGATCCACTTGCACAAATTCTACTTCCAGCAGAGTCACAATGCTATTTGGGAGCTCTTAATCTGGGAAATATTACAGAAGATACTGAAAGATGCTGAAAACAGTTTCACAATATAAAATACATTTTGAAGTGCTGGGGTTTTTTTTACAGAACTTTTATTAGAAAAGTTCTTTCTAATAAGAAATAAATATTGATGGCACTACTCTAAATGGCATTTAGAACAATGGAAATCCTGGAACATATTATTCATACCAGAAAAATCATCAGCAATGTCAGGAAAATAGAAATTGATGTCACAAGGATATTACACTTGGAAGTTTGACTCAGTCACCGAATCATGAAGAGAAAAGGGTTCAGCCCAGCCAGCCTGTGGAGTGACACCACTGGCCCAGGTGCTCCTCTTTGGAGGAGCTCAGGGTCAGGCAGGAACAGGAGTTTTCCACCTGCTCTGTGGATCACAAGGAGGGATAATAACTCTGCAGGAGGCAGGCTTATGGTAATCTTTCCTCCTCCAGTTCTTCCCCTCCTCCACTCTCAAATACATCTCAGTGTATGAAACTGAGTCAGGATTTCAAGTTTAACCTCTGACAGACCAGACTAACGTTTTACAGGCCAGTGTGTTTAAAAGGCGTAAGCACTGGCTATCCCAATCACAATTCCAGAGCTGAGGTCATCCCAATCCGTGTTAACGCATGTCTGGAAAAAATGCTGATATTTAACACATTTTACAGAGGACTGACAAGAGAATCCAGCACTTTCTTTTGGCCACAGTGATTTTCCAAACATGTTTCACAGTCACATTCCACCTTTTTGCCCTTTTCCCAGGCATGCAAATGTCACCTTTTCATTTAATTGAGCACCTCCTTTCACTTGCATTTAAAATAGAAAAGGCAGGATTTTTGATTTCAAATTAATTCAGGGAGGCTTAAGCAAAGTATGTGAGTTAATACATCCAGAGGACTGGAGGAGAAGTGACCTCCTGAGCCAAGACTTCTTGCACCACTGCAGACACCACATCACATAATCCCTACTATAAAATAGGCCAGGCTTTGTCTTAAATTTAGATTTATTCCCAAATACCATTTAAGTCTTAAGGTCTGGATGGTGCCTCGCTGATCCCATCAGAGGGTTATGGCAGAATGGACTGCTTTAATTTGATGGTGCTGGTACAAGGGGGCAGGGCAGGGCAGGCTGTCTGATGAACACTGGGAGCAGAAGTAGGACTGTACATCAAGACTTTCTTCCCTGGCTGCTATTTTATTGTGCTTTGTCACAGGCCTCTTCCTATCCTAACTCAGAGGTCTTAGGACAGGAGTCACAAGACGGGGAAGGCGGAAATTTCTTCACAGAAAAGGTGGACGAGCATTAGAAGGGGCTGCCCAGGGAGGTGGTGGAGTCACAGTCCCTGGAAGGGTTCAAAAAACAACTGGATGTGGCACTGAGTGTTCTGGTCTGGTTGACAAGGTGGTGACCGGTCAAAGGTTGGACTTGATGACCTTAGAGGACTTTTCCAACCCCGTGAATTCTGTGAAGGCAATTTTCCCCCTTGACCTCTCCCAGCAGAGCCACAAATAAAACAAAGCTGGGACCAACCAAGGAAGCCCCTGAACACAAGGGCCTACATTTTAAATGCTGATGAGAGGAAGTGTGACCACTGCAAGTTGTAGTGGGTGTAAAACATAAAATTTGGAAAAGTTTTGCAATAAAAATAATTTCCTCATGACGTAACAGGCAGCGGCAACATTTCTGAATAAATGCCCAGGCCTGCTCTACTCAGTCTCTGTCACGTACACAAACACTACATCAGGTGGAATTTACTCTTAAAAACTCCTCCGTGCAGGCGATTCCGGCCACGCTGAGATGCCCCTTTCCCTTACTGACAGGGTGGCTGTGCCCTGCAACAAAGCAGCCCCGTGTCCCGGCCGAGCCGGTCACCCTTGAAACGCCGAGACCCCGACACAGCCCCTGCGCTGACATTCAGGCCGAGCTGGCAGCGCAGGGGCCGCGAAGGGCTCGGCTCCGGGACGGCCCCGAGCCCGGCACAGGGGGCGATCCCTGGGGGAAGGCCGGGGGGGCATCACTCGAACTCCGCGGGAGGCACTGGGGGGGCAGGGGGGGTTGAATTCCGCGCCGGCCGTGACCTCTGGGCAGTTTAACGCAACACCCGCCGCGCGTCCCCGGGGCACGGGCCCCGCCGTGCCCCGCCGCTCCCTCAGCCGCGCCGGGGTCGGGCTCCCCCTCACGGCCCTCCCGGAGCCGCCGGGACGGGGCCGGCCCGGGGGACCCTCCGGGCTCTCCGGCCCAGCCCGGGCCCCGCCGCGAGCCCGCCCCACCCCGCCCCCCCGGGAGCCAATCAGGGAGCGGGACGGGGAGATGGACAGGAGCGGCGGCCAATGGGGAGCGGCCGCGGGCGCGGCGGGGCCCAGTGCGTGGGAAGGCTCTGGAAGGCCGGGCTGGGGGGGAAGGGGCGGCGGCGCGGCCCTACCTGAAGAACAGCGTCCGGTACATCTGGTGCGCCTCGTAGTAGTCGCCCTTCTCGACGCTGGCGCGCAGCTTCCCCTCCACGCGCTGCACGCCGCCGCGGTTCCTGCCGCCGCCGCCGCCGCCTTTCGCGGCTTCCTGCTCGGCCGCCATGATCGCCGCCGCCATCAGCGCGGAGCACGGGGAGGGGCGGCGGCGGCGGGTGGAGGGGCGCATGCGCAGGCAGCGCCGGCCCCTCGCTGCCCGGCTTCCGCCCTCACGGACGGCGGCCCGCGAGGCTCACTCCGAGCGGGTGCGCGCGGCGGTCACGGCCCCGGGGGGGGGCGATGAAGGAGACCCCGGGAGCGGCCCCGGGAGCGGCCCCGGCCCCGCCGAACCCGCCGGGGAACGGCAGAGCATATGAAAAAAAAATCAAGGAATGGGTGATGGAGCGCAGGCAGCGTGTCTGAGCGCTGCTCTGGAGATCCGGGGTGTAGGCGAGGCTGGGGGCAGGAATTAATCCAACCTACCCCCGCTTCACACCGATGAAAAGTCATCCAGCAAGTACCAAATTGGGCTTTTCTTCAAGAATTTCAATGTGATGTTTATCTGCTCAACACATGTTGCTGCTCCCTGCCCCAGAAAAGCCAGATTTAAGCCCCTTCTCCTCACCCAGAACACTCAAGAGCAATGACCCTGCTCAGGGACAGGGGAGAAATTTTAAATTAGTCTTTCCTCAGTTATTTAAGCAGCTGATCAAAAAAAATATTACAGAAAAGAAGCTTTATTTCTTGTTTCAAGTATTACATGCACTTTCAAAAATTAAAACTCTTTATTTAAACATCTCAATAGCATCTTGTCAGTTTGGAGGCAGCAAAGAATAACAGACATTTTGAAAAGCATTTACAAAAATACATTGCACAAAGTCCTATCTTGCTTTTTTTTTAAAAATAAGTTAGTGTTATTCAAAATATTCCCCCCCCTCACCTACCTAATTTCAATTTACACAGGATAATTCTAATTTTAAATATGTAACCTATAGTATGAAAACACCTGTACATGTGTCATCTACTCCTCTGCGTAGGCCATAGGTTCTGTCTCTAGGTCAAGTGAAAAAAACCAGTTCTTCACATGGAGACTTTTGTATTTAAACATTCGAGGACTGTTGTGCAACATACATAACTCTATTCAGAAAACCAGTCAGCAGGTCCATGTGGTAACAGTTCTCTGTAACTACAAAATGCACTAGGAACAGCAAGATAAAAAATTCTGCGTACAAGTAAAGTTCAGGAATCTTTCTCTGAAAAGGATCTTCAAAAGCAGCAATGCTAAGGGGGGGCAAACAAGCAGTTTTCATCTCGTTCTACATGGGAATGTTGCTTCTGGGAGCAACTCTAATCATCTCACACCCGACTAAGGCTTCTGGGGAGGATCAGGAATGCCCGTGTGTTTGCAACAGCAGCGCTGAGCACAAGTCCCTCTTGTAAGTGTGACGTGGAGAGAATTACTTCAGTCTTGTTTTCCACACACTGAGTTCTCACAGTACAACATTTATGGAGTGTAACAACGAACCAGTCTAAGGAATCCTCATCCCACAGAGATTGCTTTTGACAAACTAATATTGTTCAGTTGCTGCATAACAATGTTTACTGAGCAATTTAGCAGGTTTATCAGCTCCGATCCAGTCAGTCAGTACATCAAGGTCGATTCGGAATTAACACTAAAAAAGAACAAACTGGCCAAGTTGCCATGGTAAAATACCTTAAAATAACTTCAGCTACTGAAAGTTATCCCTGACTTTTAGAGCAATTCACGGCCACAAATTACAGTAAAGCATTCTCAGTCGCTGGTGTTTAAACTGGTTTTGGTTGTGTTAGCTTTCCCTGACAGTAGGATTTATTATATTCAACATGTATCAAAGAAGCCCTTTTGGATCCACCAAAAAGGTCAAAACCAAGGGTCAACTGAAGGACACCTTTAGCCACAGTCAGTGTTCAAAATATACCACAGTTTTTGGCTCATGGTGCCAAGCTAGCAGAAGGATGCAGTTAAGACCTGGATTAAAAAAGAACAGATTCCTAGTTGCAGAAAGTGTGGTTTATTCTTTTTAAAAAACCCCTATACATTCATTTGTAATAAAATATGTGTCACCTGTTTGCCAACTGGGCTTTACGAACCAGAGCTGTTTGCATGCATTATTTCCCTCAGCATGGACGCAGAAACATGAAGCGAACTGGCAATTACAAGCTGAGCGTTAGAGCAAATAAAAATCGATTTTTTTTTTTTTTTATACATTTCTGCTGACAGTCTTCTGCCTTTTATCAGAGGACCAACAGTTCTGCAGGGTGTATCTTGCATCCTCGTCCTTTAGAGGTTCCAGTGTTCGAGGCTCTCCGGTATATACAGATTAGGAACAAAATGTACAACGAGCTGTAGTGTGCTTTACTCGGCGGGTTTCCCGTGCACTCTGAACCGATAAAGGCAGGTGTACTCTGCATGGCCCCAGTTAGAGAAAATCCTCAGCTCCACTATCTGGAATGCATCTTCATTTTCCTCCTGGAGAAGGCAAAAGCAAACACACAAGCTAGGCTTAGGTTGGCTGGTACAAACAGCTGCAACTCAAGCTTTCTTAGATTGCTGCAGCTACCAACAGTCTTTAATAGCTAAGTCATGGCTTGGGAATTTTCTGCCCCTTTGAACAAAACCTTCCTTGGATTACAATTATTTATTTATAAGTGAGTCAGAAGCAGCATGAAACAGACTCTTCATATGTTTAGCAACTTCACACCATTTGTGTCCAGATGGCAACAAACCTTCCTCCCTTCTTGTTTATTTAAGCCATTGGTTTTGAGGCAGATACTTTTATTTTCTATGGTTGTGTGCAATGAGCAGTGAAAACGCCTCATTTTCAGTTGGACACTGTAGAAGCTGAGGTAGAAAGTATCTATCTTTCTCCTGACACTTTAAAATCTTATAATCCAGACTCACCATCACTGGAAACATCTGCAGTGGTTCTCCTTCTTGATCATAGACATACTCTCCTAGAAGCTTGCCCTCTTCTTGATATTCATCATCCAGACCCTGCAAGAACAGGATAAAGATTTTTGCTTCCAACAAATTTCAAATCAAAGCAAAACTAGAAGCATGTCTACACAGCAGAGTATCAACAGACAGCACTCAGAAGTCTATCAGGCCAGGAGAAGGAGGAACGATGAAACCACAAAGTGTATGAAGAACTAGACCAAATTAAAAACCATCATCTCCTTCCAAGAATGTTTACTGTTGTATAAAGCAAGAGAAACAACTCCCCTAAAATTAGTTTTAAGCACTTCTTATTCCTAACCTCAAATGCTACTAAAAATATATATTCAATTTTGAGAGCAATGACTGAATCACTTTAACATCATCTCATCTGTCCTCCCTTTATGCGTACAAACACCAATATAAATTGAGAGACAGACTTACATATACTGCAAAATTTCTAGGAGCACTGGTGATATTTCCTGTTGGCGAAAGTGTTTTTGGTATGTGTTCCACTGTAAAGGCAGTTGGATAGATCTTCATTGAAAGCCTCACTACGAGATAGCCCTGTGATCCTTTGAAAGCCCAGCAGTTTCCTGGATACATGTCCGGCTAGACAGGAGGAAAGTAGAGAGAACAAGATGAAACACAACAAGAAAAACAACCCTACTAGTGTTTTGTAATTATTTTTTTTATTGTAATGGAGAGTTGTAATTAATTCTGAATTCTTAGGGACAGTCTTAGATAGCAAGTGGCAGAAATAATCTCTGTGGTGCAACTCTTCAGGAAATCACCACATCCACCTGAGCTCCCAGCAGTGTTTTGAAGACCCACCTTGAGATTACTTCTCAACAGGAACCCTCCCAATGCTCACACTTTGCACAAGTCCAATGCACCACCCAAGCCTCCCATAAAGGTCTAAATTTTACTAGAGCAGGACTAAAGCTGTGTCCAGGGACTACCTGAAGAATCCCACTCTTAGGAACATAGTTCCAAGTACCTGTGCCCCTCGATATTACAGACAGGAACACCCAGCATCCGAAAAAACCAATCCAATCCACTCAACACAAAATAACGCTGCTGAATTTGTTTATTTGGCCTTTAATTACCTGAATTACCACTCTGGGAGACTGAGAGAAGTACCACAGAGGAATTCCAAAGAGGCTAATTAATGCTGTCTTGGTCTCATAGGTTTCAGAACAGCGAGTACTCAGAATGCTGCCACCTCAAAAGAGATAGATCAGGTTAGCAGAAATAAAAGTCTTCAGGAAGAAATGAGTAGTTAACGAGATTTATATAAAAGCTTAATGAATCCAGATTAAATATATTGTTAAGATCAAATAATTTTCTGGGGATACAAAGCTTCTATCAAGTACAATGTTATAGTAAGAATACATCAAAGGTTTTTAATTTCTTTCTTATCCAGCTGTAGATGTGCTAACTGTTCTATCCCTGTCCACACACACCTAAGCTGATATATAGCCCTATAAACACCATCATAGATTGCAGCAGACTGATGATCAGGCAACATACAAGAAAGCTCTACTAACCTCTAGTCTTCACTGTAAGATTTCTAGTAAATACTGCTAAAAACATCAATAGGAAAAGTGGTGTTTCCTCTATTTACCTCCAGATTCCAAGGCGAAATCCACCATCCCAGTCTTGTCTTGAGAGTAAAGTTTCAGTGCATTATTTACAATAATCTGTGCTTGCTGTAGATGCATAGGAGAATGGAAAGAGAAATATTTCAATAAGATCAAGTGATAAAAGAATTGATATATACATATCTGTGAAGCTGCAAGCACCTTTTTGAGATGCTGCACTTCAGCACAAGTCTCTGAAAGCCTCTATCAAGACAGAGGCCATTTTAATGCATGGTTGTCTGTCTTAAAATACAAATTCACACTGCATCTTGACCCGTTTTCTTCAAAAGCTGAATTACTTCCTCCACCTTCCCAAAACCCTGAGCTGCATTTCTTTGGTATTCTTGTTTTTTGGGAATTCTTCAGTTTTCAAGACAGCACACTGAATTCAAACACAGATGTTCACAACAGGCAACAAGCAATGCCGTAACAATACACTTCTAAAGCATTTTCTGTAGTTCTCCTCCTTTCAGTGAATGTTCCTGACATCCCTCAAAATCTTTCACATTTATGTCAACAGTCATTTGCTACAAAATGTCCATAAAAGAACTCTCTACAGTTTAACTTCTGAGAACTTGAACTCACCGCTTCCGTGATCCCAGAAATCCCTGCATTAGTCACAGCATTTGTGACTACTTCAGATGTCAGTTTTTGGTTTGTAACAGACATATGGAGAGTGATATTCTTGAGGATCTGCAACTCCAGATCCCGCAGCAAAGTCTGCAGATCACTTTTGCTCACAAAATTGGATGTAAGCCACTGGAGAAGTGATTCGGGAAGGTCTTCTTGATGATCACCAAAAAGCAACAGCTTGACAGATTCTTTGACCTGGGCATCTACCTAATAGAAGTCATTAACAATCATAATAGAAATTATTAGTTTTTATGAACTGTTAAGTGATACTTACATATATATAAATACATATATATAACAGGCACACAGCTGGGCCATATTTGAGCATTATCACAAGATGGTATTTAAGTCAAAGTTGACAATCCCTTATCAACGCTTACTGTTGTATTTTGTGGGCTACGCTCTAGTCAGACCTTTCAAAAGGCTTCCAAAGAACTTTAGCATGATTTTTAAAGACAACTCCCAGATAACAAACCTAACTTGCTTTTATGTTAAGTTTCTTTTCCATATTTTCATGGGTCAGCAAAATACATTGGTAAGATCAGCAAAGTACTGTAAAGAGAACTGCTACTGCATCGTAACTTAAATGCAAACCCCTGTAGAAAACAAGTCATAAACTCTTGCCTAGTAAAGTGCTACACACAAATGGAAAAATGAATGGCACTCCTACATAAAACACTGTCATTCTTTAAGATTAATACTACCCCCATGTTACTCATTGCAGTGCATTTCAAGAAAAAGTCAGCGAACAAAATTAAGTAATACCAAATTTTACTGGGACAGTTACAGAAGTTGCAGAACCTACTTTTTCATGAATGGCATCGATTTTCTCGCAACTCGTCTTCACACTTTCCCCAGATAACAGCTCCGATTTCATCTGAGACAACTCTAGTTCCAGTGTTTTAATTTTGGACATAAGTTGACTATGTTGATCATCATCTCTGACAAAAACAAGGAGCCAATAATTAGGAAAGAGTAGTTTGACTCATTCCACCAAATCCCAAAAGGTATAAGAATGTACTCATCTAATACAAAGTGCTCTCCTAGTTCAGTTATTCACCAGAATACACACAGTAAACTCTGAAGATGGTACTTTAGGCATACATAGAATTAATATATTCAAAGCAGAGTATTTTTAATTTGTGGACAAATCCAGCAGGGATGACTTCATATCAACAAGCTGCCAAACTAATAAACATATTTTGGGGGAATTTAAAGGTTTCTGGCAAACCAGTTTGCCACTGGTTAGAAAGAGTTTCAGGCTACCTTACTCAAACCAGAATAACTTCAGAGGAACTGTTGAGTTAAAGTAGCAGCTCACATATGACAATAAAGATCAGTGTTCAGTGCATGCTATGGAAAAAGGTATCAGCCATCACTCTAAAGCCATTTAAATGACAATTCAGCACATAAGTGTTTATTTTCCTCTTCTAAATGGGGAAACTGCTTAATGAAGTGCTGAAGTTTTAATCCCAGTATTACACTGTACATGAGTGGAAAGTAGCCAACAAGTCAAAACTAGACTAAAGCTAGAACTGATACAATTCAAGACTTTAAATATAAAGGCCATCAAAAGCAGTTACTGTATACTTCACTAATGATCTGAGGGAAACCTCTAATGCATTTATAAGAGGATGAGAAGGCACTCATTCTCCTCCATTATATAAGCAGCTTTCTCTAGTGAAAATGTAGTTGCAGGGCTGTCCCCACACTGGAGGTGGGTCTTGTGCTGATGTTCAGCATCCCAGTTAAAATCTCCAGTAAGACAGAAGTGCTCTTGTTGACAATGCAAACCCTCAGGGTCAGTTAACCAACACAAGAAAAGGATTGTTTTACTGGAAGAACAACACACATAAATCACTGTCTGTTGTCATCAGAGCTGAAAAAGCAAAATATATTTGAAAAGTGCTTATACCTCATTGTTTTTGCTTTAGCTATGTCAAGCTCCTTCTGGATGTCCTAAAAAAAATACGTAAGTTAGTTTTAATGTGTATGAAGAAACACAAGTGACAGAAAGAAGATAAAGAATGATATATGAAAATAAGAGATTCTAGCACCACTCCTGCAGGACTGTGTACCCACAATATTTTTACCTCTGTATAATAAGGTTTTATTCCAAACAGAACCTGCACCACTGGTCAAGTGAATAATTTTTAATCTTTGGACTGAAACCCTCTCCAGGGAGGGGGAGCAAAAAACAAGTTTTGAGACTTAAAGTTCTGTAATAGCCAGAGCAAAGGAAACTGGTGTTTAGGATGGAAAATAAAAAACTTGCTCTGTTTTATCAACAGGTTACAATTAGAACAAGTCAGCAAAGCTCACTTTCAATACCTTGGATTCAGCAGAGAGTTTTCTAAGAAGGTCTTCCAGTGTCCGGATGCGCGACTCATGTTCTTGATGTAAAGCCAGGAAGTCAGTCTTAAAAAAACAGGGAAGGAAAAGGGGGTGTATTTGCTTTTGGAGTACAAATACCACAATTGGTATTTTTTGCAAAGCATTATTTTAATTCCATTTTGTGAATGTTAAAGTGATTTATCCTGCAGGTACTGTGAGAAATTACAGAATCTGTAATAAATACAGGAGTCTGATTCAGCAATAGTAGGGGTTATACAGAGGGAAGTTTACCACAAAATCCCTTCTTTGTCACTATTCCTTCCTATGGCATTCTTTACCTGTATGGAAACAGGATAAATCCAGCTACTTTTTAGCAATGTAAGAATCTACTTTAGGCCATCTGTCTGGAATTAATCCTTTGTCAGCAATAACAAAGAAGGAATAAATGCCCATGACTACTCCCAGGCACTTACTACCTATTGATTAATTCTGTAGCAGAAAAAGAATCCTCCAGTCAATTGATAACAACCTGCATTAGTAAAACAGAAAACTTTGATCAGGAACAGAAAGCATTAACTATCTTACCTTTTCCTCCAATTTCATATCTTTAAGATATTGACTCATCACATTTTTTATTAGCTTCAATGTTTCACTTTTGTCACTCATCTTGGCAACCTGATCTTGAAGATTATGGAGCAGAAGCATCATTTTGTTATATTCTTCATTCCGGTCATGGCATCTGCCAGACACGATGGCCATTTGCTTTTCCAGCTCACTTATCCGATCAAAATCAAAGATATTTATGGTATCCTAAGGGATAAAGGTAATTTTTTAATATATAAAAATTACCCTTGTGCATCAAGTAGTTATTGCAAAATACCGAAGACAGAGGAGTTAAAATATATGAAAGTTTTTCCCTGGACTGTTCTCCTTTACCTTTGGAGGCTGCACAGAATGAAAAGAATCATCCTGTGGTTCAGGAACACGAATGGAATCATCTGTTCTCTGTATTCTGTCAACTCTTGTCCAGTTCAACGGAGATAATAATGAAATGAAGCCATCAAACCCCCAGAACCACATACCTAGAACAGAAACAAAAAGCAACATGTGTTCAAAATAATTCTCCCTTCAGATTGCTTGTATTTACAAATTTCTTCTTACTTAAGGACACAAGCTACCTTCAGTTTGCAAGATAGATGCCACACAAAGAACACTTCTCCAGTCTAAACAAAAATCACCAATGAGTCAGCTTTAAAATTTTTAACTCAAGTACCTAAGAATATTAGGAAGCATCCATCAGTACCACTCACACATTTGCAAGGTGGGCATTGTGCTTATATATATGATCACACATATATATATATATGGCACCTTGATCACATTTATTAAGACAGGTCGTGTTTTCTGAAGGCAGATGTAAATGCTGCTTTTTATCTCCATGGAAAATATGTTGCCTTACACCCCACTTACTACAAACCCCATTGCATAAGAGCTAATAAAATTAGGAGGAAACTTAGGCCTTCATGGTAATAAAATAGCATTTCACAAGATTACGCTTGTTTTTGCAATATCTTAGTGAGAAGTAGCAGCATTTTCTACACAGGGTGAACTCTTCCTTCCTTATTCACCCTAGTACAGAGGACTTTGAAACCCCACTGCAGGTTTCCAAGAAGCTTCATCTTCTCCACAAAATAGTTGCAAGCTTTTAGGACACACAAAGACTTGAAACTGCTTTTCAGAAACGGCCCAGCACTTTTACTAAATATCTTAAACTGAATTTGTTAATTTCAAAATTGACAGCTGATCTGGAACACTGTCTATGAACCAATATAAAGTGAACAGTAACTTAAGCAACTAAAACATGGTCTAGAGCACAGGAAAGACTTAGGGTGAGTTGGTAAAAGGACCTAACCACACTGTTATTGAGACTGACAACAATCAGCACACAGCCCACTCTTTCACTGCTACTCCTATGAAGGGAGGTAAAGAAAAAAAGGACTTCAAAGCACCTACTCACTCAGCCACTCTCTATAAAGAGCTCTGTGCAATTAAATCAAGGGTATTCCTTCCATGGGGAAAGTGCATTGACTTGTCAGTACTCTGAAAGCTTGAATTACTGTCCTGTTCACTAATTTGCTTTTTTTTGCTTCTGCATCCTCTTCATAAACCAACTAAAAATGCTGTTTTAGAACAGCTGTAGTACACACATCAATTTGTATTATAACTAAATTGACATACCTAGTAGAAACAGGAGTGGGATAAGAAACAGTAATGACTTGTAGTTCTTTGGAAGGCATCTAGAGAAAGAGAAAAGAAAGTTTACAAGAAACAATACATTTACCATAAATTATTGGGGTTTTATATTACATTATTTTATATTACATTTATTATTATATTATTATTTATTTTTATAATATTATGTATTTATATTATTTTAAAATACATATTACCACTGATAAATAACTTGCTCACAAACAAATTTTTTCAAAGGATACACACCTTCTTACAAGAAACACCTTGAGCAAAGACATCAGAGCAACAAGCTGATACCACCCAGTTCGAAGCAACCTGTACATGCCAGAAGCTGCCCTCCCTAGAAGACAGAAAGTGGGAATGTGAAATGTAATTACTGCAGCACTTGTTCAAAGAAACCAAGCAGAAGGACATGCAGCTGTGGCCAACAATGCTTTGCAGAGCGGAGAAATGCACGAGTACAGGCAACACATGCAGCTTATGGACATCTAGATATCACAAATATGACAGCACTGTAACATCAGCTACTCAACAAAGCCAACAGCCATGCAAGAAGGTGAAGTGCTCCTTTGTTATGACACTGCTATCTCACTGGAAACTCAGTATTAATGTTTGAACACAAGTTATCACAGACTGGAGACCTCAGTATGTTTCAAGAAATGCACAGATTAGCAGCATCAGCTTCTGGTAAGAGGAATATCAATACAGGAAGTGGCTGCCAAACTCAACACACCCCATTGTTCTTGATACCCCACATTCAGTGCTATTCAGACATTCATTCCCCCATGAAACAGCCTGGTTAGTCTCCTGTTAGACCTGTGAGCAGAAATAAACCCTCTCATTAAGCCTAATTTGGTCAGTAAAAAAAGTAAAGTAGCACATGCATCTCAAGATAGAAAAGCTCCAGCACAAGCACAGCTGAATTAAGATAAGCCACATACTGCAGATTCCTAGTTTGTCAAAAGGAACAGGCAAGGCACACACACATGGATTAGAATAGTAACCTGGAGAAAGAATGGCCAGCCAAAGTAGAGACAACACCTTCTGAGACACAAGCCATCCCGTTGCTCCCACTGTTCGCAACACGTGAAGCATAAAGTAACCTGGATTATAACAAATTAACTCCATGTGGTAACTGACACAAAGGAGATGAAGGTTCTTTTCAATACATGCAGTAAAACACACTCAATCCCCTGCCCACTATATGCTCTGCAGAATTTTAAACCATACCTTTCAGTAAACTCAAACTTAGTTCTTCACTACTTTAAGGTAAAGCAAGCCACTAACAAATATAAAGCCAAGTGAAACCAAGACAATTTAGAAATTGAATTCTCACGGACAGAGATAAACAGAATGAAAAACAGCATCTGTGCAGTTAGAATAGTTCTTTTCCAAAATCAAAAGTTTACATTTTGTTACATGTTTATCTAACAATGCCATGCAAAGTGTAGCAGAGAATAGCAAAAGAGTACTACCATAAAAACAAGCGTTAAGCACATCATTACTTTAAGAGCATCTTATTTGTTCCAAATTATACAGCAAGTCTCTTATCTGGGTTACTGTGCAGAAGAGGGAACAATTAAAATTTTGAACTCCAGTGATTTCGAAGAAATATTGAGAAATAAAGTATTTCTTCTAAAAGTTGCAAGCAGTACATTTTCATTAAGCTGAGTGTTCCCAAGGATGTTCAATATGACAGCTTTGTATCTCTTAAAGAGAATAAAAGCACCACCAACAACCCCCCCCACACACAAGGCACTAAAATAAAATGGTGTAACTTAAAACCCAATGAGGCCAAAAATTACTAAATCCACAACTAGGACTGGCTGTTCTACAGAACAAACTACGTAGTATATGTTTAGAAAATAATCCTACATTTTTAGATTAGCAGGTATGTCTGGGTTAATCTGAGGGATTATAGATATACCAACCCAATGTTTTGCAAATCATTTAGGTGACTGAAGTGTCCCAAATCATTTTCTTTTGCTGAATAAAGAGCACTCAACAGATCCTTGATGCCTCTGTCATTCAAGCTAGGGAATGCTCATCTCACAGGGAAGATTCTATCCCTATATAAGATTCCTGTAAAAATTGACTATCACTAGAACAAAAATAAAATGTTAAAACTCCTTTATTCAAATAATCTGCATACCAATACCTCATACCTTGCTTTTATTAAAAGGCAGCTTTTCAACCTATGAAGCATACAGATCTCCCCAAAGTGCAATAAATTAACAATCTGACTTGTTCTTTCTAACATATAACGTGTACACAACACCTACACCTTTTTTATTAATTTTTACTAATAGGTAAGCATCCTGCCAAGCTTGTAAAAAAGCCAGAATAAAAGTAAGAAGTCAGAACAGAAAGGTGTTAAGCGTGTTAGTTTTCTAGGCACTTTACACTTTTAACGTAGATGAAGGAAGGAAAAAAAAACCCAAACACAAAATTATTAACATTGTGAGATTGTGACGCAAAATAAAAGCAAACAAAAAGGTCCAAGTCAACCTGCAGAAGAAAAGGTGTGCCAAATGGTCCTTGCTACCCTTTTGGCCCATGAGGATTGCATGTGGTCTGTGGTGTACATTTCAAGATGTTTCTTCCCCTTACAGTCATCACCTGTTGGTTGTGGTAACAGTTGATTAATGGGACAAAGCCAGGATCAAGCCAAGATTGTTACAAGATAACGTGAACAAAGCTATTTCACAGTATCAGTTATCAGACCAAAAACCCCTAGGGAAATTCAGTGGAATAAAACTTGCTGGGGAAATACTACAACAGGCCATCACCAGTCCCGCCCTACATCCAAGTGCAAAGCAAATATTTACTTTGTAGCTTCCACAGTGTCACGGGGTGTCTGACACTACTATTACAGCAACAACCTGGGGCACAGCACAAGGAGAGATAACATTAATCACTATACTTACATATTGATTCCTCATTCACACCAAGATGTCGATCTTCTCTGTAAAACTCCTTTACATTCATGCTTCCACAGTAGTCCGAGTGAGCTGCAACACATTCCAAAAGCACATAAGGAATCTGATTCTCCAGTTCAAAGCCTTTCATATATGCAGATTTTAGCTAAACTGGCTTGGTTCACTATTAAATCAGGTTGCTCACAGGAAACATGAAAAATGATTGAGGAAGAAGCCTACTCTGGGCAATCTTATTTTTCTTCTTTAAGTATCAGGGGACCTCTTGATTCGAAAATCTTTCTGCTTCTTTTCAGATAGCAAAAATTTCTTCTTTGTAAAGAGAAACAAACACTAAGTAACAACTCATCAATAAGTCCCTGTTCCCAATATTCCACCACATGGGCCAACCATTACATCTTTGTGTTGTTTTTAACAGAGTTGTTAGAAGGAGCAGGAGAAAGCATTAGCAAGTTATAGGGATCTGAGCAGAAAGAATGAGGAAAGCAAAGGTCTACTCACACAAAAATCAGGTACCTTCTGCCTATGGCAATTTAACTTCACTCTCAGAGGGTGTATTATAGAAGAGAAAGCACCAGAGAAGAAATGAAGTGTTTTCAAAGAAAACAAGATGTGCTTCATAGTAGCGCAGAGTGATGATGGCAGTTTTAGTTCTGCAAGATCTAATCAAGCTTTAAGTGCACAGCAGGTTTAAGGGTAACAAGATGGACCTAAAGACATTGCAAAGTTAGGATTTGACACTATCACACCAGCTCTTAAAAATCAACCCAAGTTTCTCAGTTTAAAAATTGCCCTCTACCACTTCCTAGTGAAAATCAACATGTGAATCCTAACCGTAACACAGATCTTGTCTATGGGAATCCTGGTACTTTCAAAAGAGAGGGGAGCTATGAAAAATGCAGCTGAGGTAATAATAAAAAGGGAGAAAGACAAGAGCCAGCCAAAAGACTATAGAAAAAGAACACCACAGTGCCAAAGATGAAGACCATAGGAAAGAAAAACCAATACACACACTCTGGCTTTGTGCAGAGACCAAGGAAGACAACTGAAAAGGTACCTTTGTATTCATAACCCAGCTTCAGCAAAACCATTTGAAATAGTTGCACTAATAGTGATGCAAAAGATGTTGCAGTATGTTTGACCAATCGTAGAATCTTACTCATGTAGAAATAGGTTCCTCCTATTGAAAAAAACAGTGTGAATACAAATTATTCATCTACAGAAAGATGTAATTCTGTTCTCTGGTCACCATTAGCTTGTGGAAGAGTGAGAATGAAGCACAGTAAAGCCTTTTTTTAGCCAAGAGTATGAAACTCAAGCAAGTGTGGTTTGAAAAGTCTGGATGTATTAGATATTACATCAAAGCTTCTGTAAGAACCACACATCCTAGGGAAAATGACTTCAAGGCAAAATGTATGACTTCAGCAAGTACACATTTCCTTAGTGAGAACGCAGAACTCTAACCAGCAATGAATTCCTTGCTTATGGAACTCGGGATTCCTCACTGATGTGAGCTGCTGATACTGACTTTGTGGGTCTCAGCTCCAAAAAGATAAACTGCATTCTTATTTTGGATCTGAAAGGGCGAGGACTTTTCACTACCATCTCTGCTGTTACACCAGAGGACGTTCCTATAGTGTCCTGCCTGAAGTGCTGGAGACACTCCCAGAGCCACAGTCCAGCACTGCTGCTCTCCTAGACAGCTGCACTCCAAAAACCTGCCACAACTGTGTGCTCTCTTCCCCAGTGACATGCCCCCCAAATTTAACCCAAACCTCTAGATTAAAGTTCAAAGGAATGTACAAAGATGAGTATAGAAAAGAGTTTTTATGCAGTGTCATGTTAAGTAGTTGATTGTGACAAGTCAAAAGAATTCCAACCGGTGCTACACAGTAACTAAAGAGAAATACTACCCTCAAAGCATCTGAATTCACATCTTATAGCCCAAACAAACTCATTTCTTGCAACTGAAAACACCCTTCATTCAAGAATAACAAACCTACAGAATCCTAAAATTGGTTCCTTTCTAATTCAAGGTCATTTAAGAAACAAATCCTTTGTGGTAACTGAGGACTACCAACAATCCAGAAGCTCAAGATGCTGTGCAGGAGGCAGGCAGACAAGTCCAGACACTGAGGGCAACAATCCACTGAATGGAGATCACCTTGGAAAGGCAGAACCTTATTTGCACAGGCTCATTTGTTTTCAAGCTCTCAAAATGTAGTCCCTAGAAAGACTATTTGGAATCAAGTTTTTTTCCCTTTGGAGGTCAGTTTTTCATATAGAGGTTTAGCTTCTAGAAACACTCTAGAAAGCCACAAGGTTAAATGAGGAGAAAAAAATGAAGCAGGAAGTAAAAAAAACTCAAGAGATTTCCTGGATAGCAGAAGCACTGCAAAGTAACAATTCTGCTCAATCTTGAAAGTTCAAATCATGTAAGGGATAAAAAATAATAAAAGAAAAAGCACAGAAAGTTTCTATCTGAAAACCATGACCAAAAACTTCATATACAGACCTACACAGATCTGGCATCAGATTAGGAGACTTTTTACAATCAGTGCTGGTGGGGCAAATAATTTTATCATTTAAGGTATCAGAGCATTTTAATTTTAATTAATGGTTTAATTCCTACAGCAGCACTGAAAATCAGTAGATAATTACATATTAGAAGCTGACAAGTACATAAAATTTTAACCAATACAGAAAAAGTATTTCATATAAGCTGATCTCTAGAATTCTGTTATTAGTAACTTTACCGGGGTAGCAAAAGTGCTTGAATAACACTTGATGGAAAATGAGCCAACTGAACTGTGCACCAGACAGAACACACGAGACAGTCACTTACTAGATGCATGCTTCTGGCTCCTGTCCCGAGTGTAAATCCTGGAGGATGGCACGTGAGCCGCCGAGTAGGCTGTGAGGACCTCCTTGCGCTCGGACAGCATGCTGCAGTCACTGCACGTGTAGCCGTTCATCGGGGGCTGCGGCTCTGCTGCTCCTGCTATGTCACCATTGCCCTGCAGCAGTGTAGTGTCACTACCTGCCAAACCCAGAGCACAACACCCGGAGCACCCACGTCAGTACTGCCAGCACTGGGTGCTGTCACATACAAGGGATGTGGAAGGAAAAGCGAAGTGCAGTTACCTTTAGGGTCGCCTTCCTCGTCAAGACCTTCAAAGGTGAGAGAGAAAAAAAAAACAACAAACTTGGTCCCAGATATGAGAAAGGCCTGTATTTAACTACAGTACCAGACAAACTCAAGTCAAAAGTCATATTAATTTTCAGGCTTCAAAGAAAGGCACTTTGTGATTAGTATTTAACATGTTTTGCAGCCCATCAGAGAAACATGTATCCATACAGTAGGGTAAGTTGTGAAAAGTATTCCACCATGGAAGGGGCAGACAAAATAATATGAATGACAACTACACTTTTACTTAGCTCCCATGTGACTTTAAAGCAGCTAATTACAAGCTTACAGTGTTTCTGTTGCTTGGTAACTACTTCAATACTACTGTATTTAAGATTCTGGTTTAAGAGCCAGGTAATCTGAAGTTTAGAAGGGGTTCCACCAAGATTGAAACAATTCTTCCCATTTGGACTCTGGGAAGGTCACAAGTGTACTGACTAGAAACAAACAGTCTGAACTGGGAGATAAAATAAATTGTTGATCTTCTCCCACAGTACACTTTACACAGACAATTCTCATATTTTTCTCTTTGTTGAAGAAAGCAGGTTACAGGAAATACATATGTGCAAAACCAAACCAGCCAGCCACACACAAAAATCCTTTAGGGAAATCCTTAAGTGCCACTGATTTGAAACTTTCAGATTAAGGTATGTTGAAACACATTTCTGCCTATAACAAAGAAGAAAATGCTTTGTCTTTTCGAAAACAAATTATATGTTTACCATTCTTTAAATACAGTAGTCTGTGTACCTTTTGAAGAAAGTAATGATAGGAGATAATTATGGTGTTGCATCACAAAATTATATATGTTTCCTGGCATATTAAATTGACAGTACAACTTGTCTTGATGTTAGCTACACCAGTAAATCAAGTTTACACACTGGACCACAAATTTCCAGTGGGCATCTCAGCAAGCAGACACCTACAGCAGAAGTCTGTGTGCACATATGTTTAGGGGCAGGATGGAAAACAGGTGGGGAAAAGATCATGAATTTATACACACCAAACCGTAAACAGTTTCCACAGTTTGATACAAGAAATAGCAATCATTGCCTACCCCAGAAATGATCAACTTCTGTCTGCTCACGAATCAAAGACTCGTCCAATACAGTGGATACCATTGATGTATCACTGGCATGGCTATTGAAACTGCTCTGGCTAAAAATAGATGAGCTGGACAGATTTTTCCTCGGCATGTGTCTTACAGTGCCAGGCTGTTTATTCATGCTTTTGCGTTGCTTTACCATCCTAGGAAACAAAGCAAAGACAAGTAAGACACAGCACTAAACACACAAATTTCAGTTAGTCTCTTGCTTTATTAAGGAATAAACCGTCATTTCAGCATTGATGTGACTAAACAGAGCAAATTAATTTTAAAAGGAACCATTCACCTGTATTTTTACAAAGATTTCATTGCAAACCACATACTGAACATAAATTTCAAAGTATGGCAGTAAATACTGAGAACAGAAGAATAAACCAGTAGGTGATCTGTTCGCATTATTGTGTTCAAACACTAAGCCTCAGGATTCCAACCCACAAATTAACTTGTGATGATTAAAAACGCTTACTTAGAGGACTGTTCCCTGAAGGACACGTTTCCGGTGTAAGAGCTGTCGCGAAGGGAATCGCTGCGTCCATCCTCTGCTTGGCTGTATCCTGCAGCAGCTAACCGTAAACTACGCCGGGACATCCTTGGGGAATCAAATACTGGATCTATTTTGTTTTCAGTCTCAAAATCCAAAGCAGATGAAGAATAACTTGAACTGCAGTAAAATAAGAACAGCAAAGTTACTAGGGGAATTTTCAACCTGGTAACAAACATGCCCTTCAAGCCAGTCTAACTTTCCATTAAAAGCAGTTTATTCAGGGTTATGGTGCAATTTCCACAAGATGTGCCACGTAACCCAAATAATCTAGACATGTGTAGATATTCAAGGTTCTCCCAAGCAATTCATATTGCAAATTTTACAACTGAAAGCAAATCACAGTTAGAAACAACCACCATGGAAACCATGTTTGAAGTTTAGCCAGAGCAAGCACTCGTTCTTTTGGGACCAATTTGACAGTGGAATCCGTATGACACAGTTTCTTCACCATGCCCAGCAGCAAATTAAAAATCATGACATGCTCTAAGTAGCAAAGATTAATTTTTAGTCAAAGCTTATTTTTGTCTATTTTTTGCTTGCCAAGTCCTTGTTTTGAGAACCAAAGATCTGTATGCCACATTACTCTGAGTTTCCATCTCTCAACAAGTAGGAACTTCCTCTCTTTAAGATACTTAAAGGCTTCCCAACTTCAGCTACTTCAGTTTAACTACTATTACTCTTTTAAAAAAAGTGGATTAAAAATATTTCTTAATTTAATGCACATCATTGAAATATTTAACTCTGAGCAAACAAAAAATGTTTAAAGACTTTAATTTTTCTCCACAGAGGCAAGTTTGCACATAGATAACTTTCATATCATCTTCCTGGGAGCTCCACATTTCACCATGTGATTCCCTCAGAGCCTCCATGAAAACTTATAGTGAAGACAAAGCAGCAACACAAGGCAAACAAAAAGAGCTTAAACCAAGGAGTCTGTAAGAAATACACTTACGAAAGCAGAACTTTAACCTAAAGTAGAATACTCATACTTACAACCCAGGGAAACATTCAGTTATGTAAGTGAGCAGACAGAGGCTGTTGCAAGGGCACAGCACAGCAGGTCAGGCTCTAGAACCACTCAGCCCTGTGACCCACAGCATCCAAATGCTAAGTGCCCTGGGCCAGCTTTCATAAGGGCTCTGTCCCCTCTCAGGCCACAGAGATACACAGTTACTTCAGTGTTCCTGGGGGTTTTCATTTCTTGTTTTTAAAAGAGCTGAACAAGTTATTGTTAACAACAGCAGCTCTTTATCCCTAAAACCCCAAACAAAAACACACAAGCAAATTAAATATGAATGAGTAGATTCTGCTGTGCAATCTGTATTTGAAATGGAAGCTTTCCCTTTAAAAAATACAGAGAAATAGCTACTATAAAATGTACTTGTGCAAAAAACAATTAATGGAAATAGTTTTCTTTCACAATCTTTAAAGATCTCAGAACATCACAAAGTAATAACATGATATGTATTGTATTACTTTAGCGTACAAGTTAACACCGGAAGGCCTTGGAGCTACACTTACAGTAATGATGCAATTCTGACAAGCTGGTGCTTTTGAGGCAAGTTTCTTCATTGCTCCGCAATGCAAAGCAAAGCACATAAGATAGGATTGTGTCAGAGCACATGGACTGCATTTCTTTTGGCTAAAAAAACTAACCCAGACAACACATTGCAGGAAAACATCTTCAGGCTCCAGCAGCAGCTGGGCATTCAGCCCACAGGGCCAGAGCAGAGTCTGTCCAAAGTAACTTCTTCAGTTGCCCAGAGGTGCCCAGATTTGATGGTCAGGTGTTTGGCACTACGTGCTGGATCTCACTGGTGTGCCCTGCTCAGCCTGGCACGTGCAGTGCAACCCTGTGCAAGGCAGGAGCCTGAGCACAGTTTGAGACAAACCCAGCATACACTGCTATATACATTAGGCTTATTAATCCCTGCTTGCATTTGGCTGGAAGGGGGAGAAAAAATAAGACACTTTTTCTCAAGTACCTAAGGAATTGCAGACTAAAGAATATATCTTATACAGTTTTCAAAAGTACTAAGTACAGATAACTCCCATTCTGACAGATGTGAAGTGAGAATATGGGTTAAATGCGGCTCCTCCTGTTGTTATTCAGAAAGGGTCAGAGGCACAACAGTTTTCTATTGAGTCCCTCCCAAACAGTTGTTTCAGAACCCAGTTTGGCTATTTACACTTGCCACTACGCATTTGCTTTTCCTCATCTTCACCCAACGTTTCTTACAGATACTCAATTCACAAGAACACAAAGTACACAGAACACGCTGACAGCTGTGACCAGCCTCAATTTGTTTCTGTTTATGAACACTTGCTGTTACCAAGTATCTCAGTGAGCATTTATATCAATGTGGGTTGAATACAGAGCCTGGAGTTGGGCTCCACTATCTAAAAACTATAAAAATCATGGAATGTTTTCCTCTTTAAGCAAAAGGAGTTTGTGTCTTACTCAAGATAATAATAATTCTCTTCAAATTATCTGTCCTGTCAGTTAAGACAGTACCTAGAAGTCTCCTAACCTGCCATCTCACTTTCCACACTTTGGACTGTGGCCTTTTTTCTTCTACAGAAAAGATTACAGTAAATTAAAAAAGCACTGTCTTTCCTTTCGAGGGCCAGAAATGAATACATACATTGATGGTTCTTCTATGCAATATGCACTGCTAACCACAAAACAATCTAAAAGTGGGATGCAATTAGCCTACACTCCCAGATAACCTACACAAACAGTGCACACTCTGGTTCCTTCCCCCAGCTAACAGCTCCCGTGGTTGCTGGCAGAGCTGCTGACTGGATCTAGTCTCACATTTCCAGCTTCTATTACTTTGATACCTCCTTCACATGAGCTTCTACAGACTAAGAATGTCCCAGACTTCAGTGGGTTTTCAAGTTATAAATATATTAGTGGAATGAGAATGAGGTCTGCCAATTTTAGCACACCTATAGCTTTGTCTGACAGACCTTAAATGTCATTTATTTTTAAGTATTCCTCAGAATGAAATGGGCAGTGATGTTCTTGATTATTCAAGATAACAGATAAATGCAACATGCCCAGAGAAGTACAGCTAAACAGGCATCTTCTAACATGGACACAGGTATATGAATGTACAAACATTCATGTGCTTTCTGACCAGGGCATCCTGATTGCATGCTCTGATACAGAAAAAGAAAAAAAAATTTAAACCAAATTCTTACTGATTTAATCCATATTTGTAAAGTGCTAAAGGCACCCAATTGACAACACAACTCAAAAGATGAAGGTGACTAAAAGGAAAGATCAGCCTCAAGAGGGGGGTGTAAATTATATGTTGACAAGTGGGTGAGATTCACAAGTTTGACTTGTGTTTGGAGGAGGATAAAGATTATTTAGGTATATCAGTTAAATGTTTTTCTGATTTGGGCTGGAGGAATAAAAGCACAAAGCTGAAACACCACAGTTATGAACATGCAGTAATCCCAGTGAGTATTAATATAAGTTCTATTAATAAGTGATAGCCAACTCTATTAATAGCTTTGTGGTATCAAACTTCACTGCACTGCTTTCTGCAGGGCTACGTGCACAAGCCAGTTTCTTTAAAGAAATTCACAGGCAGATTCTGTACAAAAGGCAGAATAAATCAGACTGGAATATAAGGAAAACAAACACAAGTGAGCAGAGAGAAGGAATGAACTGCAATATGAAAACATTTCTGATTAGCAGCTCTCCCTCTCCTCAGATTCCTCAAATATTGTCTGACCCAAGGCAGGACAAGCTACAGCAATACAGGTCATCCTGCACAGGTTCATCAAGCAGACACACAGTAAGAGTCTGCTCAAAAGACTGCACTTTACTCTGCTGATACCCTGAAAGCACCATCGAGTCAGTGTACCAAGTAGTTTTCCCTATTATTTTAATACTTGTGGCTTCACAGAATTTTTCATGCAGAAATTTTAAAGAAAGCACTTGCCAATCCTTCCTTTCTACACAAGGAAGAATTACAATGAATTAATTCAACGTAGTTTAACTATACTTGCCTTCATTAACTCAGTTATTAAACTTCAGATTATCCAGCTCTATCCGTATTTGAGTAACTATACCTAACACACTTTACCACAGCAAAATGGCAAACTGCAAAGGTTCAAGACACACAACCCTCCCTGTCCATAAGTTTTGTGTTGCAAAACAACAGTCTTCATTCCTAGAGGAAGACAAACACTCCAGCTGTCTTCTACACAAATCCCACCAAAGTAATAATGAACTATCCTCTAGATGTCCAATAGGATTTATCACTCTGCATCTTCCTTTCTTCTTGCCCACAATTTTGTTGGATATAAGCTTTGCACAAGAACGCCACAGGAGCGAAGATTAACCTGCCAGGAGTTACAATATTTTAGCCAATTTATTGGCAAGTAGCCAAGTGTTCTCCAATCTATACAGTGCATTTTAATATGCAATAGACAATAATGACTTACAGACATAGCACAGAAAGACAATCTCATACTGTGTCCCAATGAACAATCATTTTTTTTAAAGTTAACTAAACCAGTAACTCAGGCTCACTGACAAATACTTGTTTCAAAATATATCTACTAACTCAACATCAGGAAAAGCTCGACAGATCAAAACAACACCAATCTATTAATACTAAAAAACTCAAATGGGCATCACAACATTTGTTCTGAATACATAATACAAAAATCTAACAAACAGTGTTAGTTTTTAGAAAACTGAAGTGATTTAAGAAAAACAATCTAATAAGAGTTTAATAAAAAGACACAAGAAAAAACAAGTTCATTAGAACACAGATTTTACATTCACACAACAATCAGTTTTGCCAAAAAAAAAAAGTAATCAATATGTTACTTCCAGCCACATTCCACATTAGCAGCAACGAGTGCACATCAATCAGTGTTCTAAAGTGAAAACAGTCCCAAGTCACAAAAGAAAGCACACTCAAAAGTTACAGGACACAAAACATCTAAGAATTTTGATGACATATTTATAGAAATCAAACAGCAGTTGTAACTAGGCGGGCACAAGTTATTCATAGCAACTAATAAACACTGAGTCATTTTCTTAGTCATTGTCCTCTCAGTTCAACACGTTTTCTTTCCTCCATTTAGGACACAGAGCTGTTTTCAAACCACACTAGATAAAGTACGTTTCTTCAAACAAGTCAGCTACTTACCACGAAAGCTAAACTCTCCAGAGTTAGCAGCATTCAGAGAACATACAGTTTCTCTACGAGAAGAAAAGAGTTCTCACCTGAGTGCATATGTATAGCCAGTGTTCTCTGGCAGACATTGGGGAGGAGTGTACGTATGTAGACGTGAAAAGTCCATGTTGACTGTTTCAAATCATACTGTAAAAGGTGAAAATAAAGGAATGCAGTGACTTAAAGTTACATCAAGTCAATGTAAGAGCCCTTGCACTGTTCAGCCTGTGTTATTAAGTACTGAAATTAAAAAGCTGTTACCAGAAACATGGAGCTCTCAGTATTGGAGCAGCACTGCTGCTAGTGCCAGATATCCCTTTATCATTACTGCAGGAAGCTCAGGGTATTTCTGACAGAGACTTTCTTGGTGATACCCTATTTCCAGCTATTTCCGAGTTCTCTGGAACACTACTGTAACATGAGCCAAGCTCTTATCACAGCTACACTACAACACTTCCACAGGAACCAAGTCAGGCTGGCATCCCCAAAAGCTAAGCATAAAAATCTAAACAGCTTTCAGAGATCTCTTCACAACGAGTTTTGCTCTGAGAGCCCTCTGGGCAAAGCACAGGCTGCTCTGTGCACCAACTAACATAATGCAGATGAAACTAGAGAGAAGGTTTTACATACAGTCAAATCATTTCACTCTACAACCTTTGAACACCACCCACTAAGTTGCAAGGGAGTATCCTTCATTTCACATAAAATTCTAATATATGGTATTGGATAATTTATTCCTGTCATTAAAACCACTGACTACACACCCTGGTAGAAGAGCCAACTGCAAAATGACTCACAGGGCTAGAATTAGGCACATTTTCCAGAGTGCCATCCACTTCCAAAAAAACCTCAAAACACAAAGCTACCAAACCAAAAACACCCAAGCAACACTTGTAAAATTTTCCATGGAGTCTTTGAAAGATATGACAGCTTTAGGAAGAAAATAAAAACTAATGTTATCATATCAACGAACTTGAAGAGCTGTACAGGTGACTACTTGTGGTGTTATGAACAATTTGACATTCAAGTTCATAATATTTGCAATATCCTTGAGCCCTTTTCAGTTTTATTAGCCACAAGAAAAGTTTTGCTTTTCTAGAAAAGATTCGCTGATGATGGCTTATTTGTGGTTAATAAATAGGGATTTGGCTATGCTGGATTTGCATGGTTAGGAAAGCAGAATCCTGGCTATTTTCAGATTATCTACAGCTCCTGTTTCAAGAGCAGTAAAAGATATTCCACACAACTGTGATGACATACCTAAACCAGGGTAAAAATATCCCCAGCTACACTCTAATTCTTATAATGAAACAATAAGTCTCTCATTTTGGAGGTGCACTTTTCTAGGTTGAAATAAGAGTTTTCATTTGTATAGCTACCTATACATAAGAGAGAGGGACAAAAAGCAGTGTCACAGGTACAGGTAAAAGCAGGTCAAAAAGAAATCTGTACACGTAACATTAAAATGCTCTTAGTCATTCCACCTGTAGCCTCCAAATCCTGAGGTCAGTAAGGCAGAAAGATATTTCCATTACTACTGAAGTCAGTTTCCTTCTTGTTTTTAGAAAAACAAAAACTTACAGGCCTAAATGTTGTGGCTTTCTGAATGTAAGCACCTCCCATGCATTTGTGGGGTTAATGAAAAATAAGGTATCACTTCTGCTATTTACTTTTTTTTTTCCAGTATTATAGAACGCATTTCCATTAAGTGATCTTTCTCTACACTCAGTTCATTTGTCCCAGAGCTATAATGCTTTCACTGGCTCGTATATAAAATTTGTTGTTTGTTTAGAGGAAGCATAAGTCAGTAGTGCGGAAGTATTAGCAAAGTAGTCTCATTCTCTTGCTAGAATAAGCAGCAAATTCTGCTACAATACATAACAACTGCTGCCTTTCTTTATCAACAAATCAGAGCTCAATTTAGCACATAGGAAATGGGGACCGGAGAGTAATGGTTCTCCAGTAACAGAACTAGAAATACAGTAAATTTCAAAATGAGGGATGTTGATAATATCAGATAACACTTGTTTTAAAGAACAGCAAAACATTTCTTATACATATGCTTACTGAAATTCAAAACTATGATTGAGGTTGATCAGTTTGAATTGGTGTATTTTTAACACACAAGCTATGGAAACCTCCTGTTTAGTATCCACTGGAGTTGATGTGTGTGCTTCGCACGCATCATTTAATCACAAAACCTATTTTTTAACTGGCAACTCAGTAGCTGATATAATCCATGTGACACTATGGGAGACAGCTTTGAGCAGCTCCCCAGCTCCTCTCCATCTCTGCTGCCATATGGGCAGGGCAACGGCTGACTTTGAAAAACAACATATTGGCTCAATTTCTCTCCTGCCCTTTTCCCCTTCACCACCAGTTCTCTACTTACTTGACTTCTGAGGAAATCAAATGCTACAATTTAAATAGTATTCCTTACTTGATAAGGTTTTAATTGTATCATTAAGTTATTACAGATAAAATATGAACTTGAGAACGGCAGTGCAAACTGCAAAGCCTCGGAGGTATTTATGCGTAGGACTATTAATAGCCCGTTTTCACAGCACCCAGCTCTCCAGTGAAGATATCAGGTTTGCCATCTAAACACCACAGCTAGAAATCACTCTTAGAAGATTTAAGGGCTTGGTTTGATTCACTGTTTGTCTGATGCTCTAAAATTAATTCAGACTCAAGGGGGAAAACCTTTACTCAATTTTTCAAACCAACAAAACAGGACTGACTTAAACAGAACTTGAAGAATCATCTTCAGAGATCACCACCATAATTTTCAAAAATGTGCATCTAAAATTTACTATGCAATTGGACCTTTTTTAAAAAGAAATGGCTATTAGTTCAGCAGCTTAATTTTAGTTATTATTCTCTTCAAAACAAATGATCATCTTGATTTATTTAAAAATATTCTACATACTTATTATAGAATAGGGGTATGTAGGTGGAAGACAGTAACTCCCTCTAATTTGTTCACTCATGTTTAACAGCACTGCACCTTGCAGGTATTATCATTCTTCTTGCTTATGAAACTTTCATATGCAACTGGAACAGAAAGCCATGCTGATAAAATATTTTGATAATTTAAAATCACAAAACTTGGCAGAGAACCTGGGAGCTGGACATTGCACTTAGTTCCAGTTTGAACACTTCTGGGTGCACAGCATGTTTCTGATTTAGGTACCACAGATCTGTCTGGACTCAGATTCTTGTAGGCTTTTAGCATCAGCTGTGTTGCAAGCATTACTAGACCCAAACTTTAAGTACCCTTTTTTCCTTCTTCAGAAGCCTATAAACACCTATTTCTAAGTACTAAGGGATGTGTAGTGCAAGAAGTAAGCATGTAGTTATATAAAAACCCCAGGTAAACAGAATACCTTTATAAGACAACCCAAATTAAAGAGAATTTATTCTCTTGAAATTAAAGAGAAGCACACATTTCTGCTAGGATGCAAGGGGGCACTAGATGAGCCTCAGCTTACAAGCCAACTTCCATGTTCCTCCTAAGGAGACATGCTTTCTGGGAGAAGTAGATAGCAGCAATCACCTTAAGTATCATCTCTCCCTTACAATTCAACTGCATCAGTATGACAAAAAACCAGCACATTAGAAGGGCAGGAGAAGACAGATTCTGACTTGGTCACAACACAAGGAAGCACAGGGACTCCTGTAATCAGTGCAGCAGAATTTACTTTCATACAAGGCTCCCTGGAGGTCTCTAAAGGACTCCGAGGCATCTAAGTGAGACATGAGGCTGCTCCACCACCTCAAAAGCCTGTTTATCTGACAGTCCCTTTCAAAACCAGCCGGTTTCCACAAAACTCTTAGTACCACAGCTTCCTGTACCATCCTGGCTTCCAGGGAGGGGGATGAGATGCTCCACGAGTGGCCTTTTTGCAAAGAAGCATCACAAGGCAGGGGGAGCAGCATCAAACACTGAACACGCACTACAAACACTTCCCAAGGACTGAGACAAACCCTCACTTACAGCTTTTGGGGTCCATGAACAGACTGTCACAAACTCACTGTTCAGGTGGTTCCTCAGAAACACCCTTTTTGACAAAGGAAGTGGTTAAATTGCCATTTCACAAACGGGACCCTGGCACAGTAGAAATACTCATAAAGTCCATTAGAGAACAAGAAAATTTGCAAGATAACGTCTTATTTTTACATCATAAGGGGCAAAAAATTATTTAACTGAAGTCTTAGATGTTGGTGGTACTACACCTAGAATCCATGCTACTCTATACCTAGTAAAGCCAACTAAGTCACTATGACTTAACACAGTAATGCCACCAATGCTAAACAGACTTTTGGGCAAATTAACAGTAACAATGAAACTGGAGTATGCAACTCCATCAATTCCTGAGAGCAAACCATTTTTTTTACTTGTAATTTCGATTTTTATTTTCTTCTATTATTCAGAATAAAAAATAAAATGCCTACGTATACTCCACAAAGGATGTTTCCACATACCAAATCAAGTACTAGTTTAAACAGGCTGAAGAGGAAAGAGCTCCAAGCTAAATCAACGTTTTATTAAAACACACATTCATAAAACATTACTATTCCTTTCAAAGAGCAACCCAGAAGCAAACAAACAAAAAAAAATCCCAAGTAATAAGACCGATATTTTAAAGTATATGTTAAATGGAAATTGAGCATTATGGCACAGATCCCCCAACACAGGTGTCAAACCGCAGCGCTACCAACAAACCCCGGGTCCATCACAAAGCAGCACCGTCCGCGCGTTCACATCATGTACCTCCTGAAACGCTTTTTAAAAGGGAGGCCGGTGGAAACCAGCCGCACATTCAGCCGCGGCGAGACAATCAGCGCGCCCGTTCATTGTTTACACGGCGGGCCCCGCTGCCGACACACCATTTCGCAGCCCAGGCCGCTCGGCCCCCGCAGGCTCCGCGCTCAGGGGCTGCGCTCCGCGGCTCCCCCATGGGCAGGGGGTCTGGGGCCGCCCCCGCGGCCGGGCCGGGCTCGGGGCGGGCCGGGGCTCAGGGCGCGCTCCCCGGCGGGCGGGACATGCTGTTCCATGGATCCCAAAATGGCTTCCGGCCCCAACAAAGCCCGCAGGATCCAGGGATCCGGCCCGGCCCCCACGCTCCCCGTCACTCGGGGAGTTTGAATTCACTGGAGGCGGCGGCGCTGCCAACCCACCGCCTTTAACCCCTGCGGGGCCGCTGAGCTGCGGCTCCCGGAGCACAACAAAAGGCGTGTTCTACCACGCTCCCAGAACGCGTCACCTGCCCAATAAAACACCGCCGGTATTAACTATCAAATTGCAACCCATCATCTTACTCCTTATAACCAACACCTTCACCTGAATGCCTAAAGCGTCCACAACTTATCAACACCGAGGCACAAGTCAGTCAATCACCGCATACTGAAAGATACAAACGAATATAAATATATATATACACACAAACCACATCTACTAATACATCAACGTAAACAGCCTACCAAGCTTGTTAATAAAACCCTCTTGTCCAGATCACTCACAACAAAAAAACCCTGCAACTCACTTCCACAGCACTGCCATGAAAACCAGCAAACAGCAATTCACCCCCATATGTAAAAGAGGGAATTGGACATTAACTTGAAATTCAATAGAAGCATAAGCCCGGAATAGTTAGTTGCAAAGCACTGAAGCAGAAAAATTTTTAAGAAAATGAGCAAAGATTTCACTTCCTTTTTGCGTAATGATAAACTGAAAAAACAGATGGTGGGATGGGGGCACTGCAAGTGCCGCAGAAACACGGAATTCCCTAGCAAAGGCTTTCCTTCCCTATAACATCTTATCAACAATACATTTTAAAATAAAGAAGCGTAAAATAAGGCAAACCAAATACTTTTTCTTCCCAGCTGACACAAAACTTCTGGAGACTATCAGAAAACAGGTGCTGCCTCCAAACAGTTCCGCGTTTCAGACACTCCTACCCCTGCGGTCATTGAAGAGCAGCCAAACGTGAGCACCACACGAGGGACACAGCCCTACAACCTCAAAACGGGCACCACACTGAAAACAGCACATTTTGCTGTAAAAACACCAGCAGTCCCTCTGTGGGCGACCGGGGCCAAACTGTTTTACAGTAAACCCGCCTGTTTAACAACACTTTCCCCGGAGAAGCAGCTCGCTGACGCCAGCTGCCCCGAGGTGACAGCCGGGGGGGACGGTGAAAACAGGACCGTCCCCCTTTGCTCCCCAGCCCGGAGCACAACACCCATCACAGCACGGTACCTTCGCACCAGGGCTCGGCAGCTGCAGCGAGCGCCCGCGCGCTTATCAGCTCGCTCTCGATCAGCGCGCAAAGCTGCAGGTTACAGTTTCTTCTGACAAGGAAATCCTCCAGGTGCCAGGCCCAGGGGCACCCGAGCGGGGGAGGTTTCCCTCTCCTCCCAGCGCCGACCCGCCGAACCCCGCGCTAACGAGGGGCCAGCGCTCGCCCCACGCCCCCAGCCCGCGGCGCCTCACGCCCCGCTGCCTCCCCTGCCCAGGACGCCGATCCCCCAGCCGGGGGAGGCCGCAGACCGGGATACCGCGCCCCGAAGGGCTCCCACGCGGCCCCGGCCCGGCGGGAAGCGGCGGCGGGCGGGCCGAGGCGGTGGCGGGCGGCGGACGGGTGACCGCGGGCGGGGGGCGGTTGGCAACGGCCGGGGCGGGCTGAGCCCCGCCGCCCTCCAGCCCCGCGCTCCGGGGGCGGACAGGGGGAGCGCGGCCCGAGCCCTGAGCGACGGGGAGACCCGGGAGCGGGGGTGGTTACCTGGTGCCGGTGCAGCGAGAGAAAGGCAGAGCCGGCGGCCGCGGCGGCTGAGATTGCCCGAGCCCCGCCCGCTTTGCCGAGGCCGCCGGGAGCCCCCGCCCCGCCCGCACGGCGCGTGCCGCCAGCGCCCCCTCAGCGCCCGCCCCGCGCGGCCCCTCACACGCCCGGCCGGGGCTTCGCTCCTCCTCCTCCTCCTCCTCCTTCTTCTCTTCCTTCTCTTCTTCTTTCTCCTCCTCCTCGAGCTCCCGTCAGCGTTTCCCCCCCCACGGTGTTTTCACCCCCTGGCAGCGGCCACAGCCAGGCCTCCGCCTGCCTCGCCTTCCCCCTCCGCAAAAGGGAGCCGTGGGAGTCTCCGGAGCGAGCAGTGAAGAGATGAGGAGAGTTAGCTCGGATTTTCACTCCGGCCTCTGTTGCTTGACTCATTGACTTTCCCTCCCGGTGTTTTCACGCCTCCCCTCGCTGTTTCCTTCCCATTCTGCCTTTTCGAGGTTTTCTTTCCCTTTTAATTGCTGTTCTCCACTAAGGCTTCGGTGCTAGCCCAGCACACGCGGCCGCTCAGTGGGACTGAAGTGCTTTCAGCTCCTGTGCGGTGCCCAAGCGAGTCTCACTGATGCCAACACCGGGATGCAGAAACCCCTGCACCAGCCGCACAGAAATCACAGAATGGTTTGGGTTGGAAGGGACCTTAAAGTCCGTCTAGTTCCATCCCCCTGCAATGAGCAGGGACACCCCTCCCTGCTCAAGGTTTCTCCAAGCCCCATCCAGCCTGGCCTTGAACACTTCCAGGAATGGAGCTGGCTCTTGGCAGCGAACAAACAAGACCCATTGTTCAAATATTTGGGGAAAGTATGCACATACATTGAATTTGAAGCTTGTGCCCCAGTCACGTTTGGCTAAGCCTTCAGTCTCCCTGAGCCCGCAGTTGCCTTGCAGGCCTGGCAATGCTGAGCGCTGTGGGCAGGGGCAGTACAATGGCAGGGAACAGAACAGCAAATTGTCACTTGGGAAAGGGTAGTCGGGCCATAAATTGTTATTTACTTGTGTGTGAGAGAGAAATGACTCAGCTTACTGGGAAACACTGGGTAATAAATATATAATTATCAAATAATCCAAGTGTTTGGATACAAAATGGGTGAAAGCTAATCCTTAAGAAACAAGAGATGCAAGATAAAGACATTCACTTGAGGTGTTGGCTGGTGCTGATGCAGCACTGATTTGGGGCAATTACTGTTTCTTTTTAAAGAGCTTTGCCCCAGCTATGTGACAGTTTTAAGATGCTGCGGCCAAAGTTGAGCTGACCCCAGAAACACTTGGAAGCCAGAGCATGGTTTGGTCAGATGTGCAGCCCTTCACCAGTCACCTCGTCCTTGCATATGGCTGAGGATTTTGCAGAATCAGTTTTCTGAGCGCTCCTTCTCCTTCTGTACTTATTCCACACCTGTTTTCCTGTCCTTAGAGTAGATAATGTTTAAAGGCTTAAGATAGTCAGGGCAAAATCAACTCTTAGTTTAAATCTCCCTGAAATTCCTTGGTGATGTGAGGCCAGGCTTTCTCAGGGATGTTTTTCCCCTTATTCCCCGGGAGCCCAGGCAGGGCAGGCAATGCTCAGCTCTGGCAGGACAAGGCATGTCCCTCTCCCTGGGCACTGCTCCAGCTCCCCGGGCTGCTCTGACTTGTCCCAAGCAGTTGTTTTTCCATCACGACCGGGCCAAGAGGCTGGATGGAGAATGATGACTTAAGCTCAGCTTTCACTCCGCTCCTCAGCTATGAGGAGCAATAGAATATTTTTTTAATTTCAGTGATTTAAGGGAATCTTAGTCAGATGTCCCTGTTTTGTTAAAAGAAGCTGGTACGTACAGGGAGTTAATTTTTCCGCGTTTCAGAAGAAACTGCTCTGAGGCAAACAAAAATTCTTTCAAAGTTTCTCAGCATCCAACAACGAGCTCTGAATGTAAAGTGGGCTCACTTATTTTATTGTCTGAGCTGAAGTGTGCAGAAAAACGGTCAATAAGAATAAAAATTAATCATGTTAAAATTGCTTCAGTTTTAACACTGTAGAGGGCAGCTAAGAATTTAGGGGAAAAAAGCTTTCCTAACTGACACCATGTACAGGAAAACTGCAATACAGGGCAAACCAATCCAAGGTGCACATTTATCTAGTTCTACCTCTTCTTCCCTTCCCATCGCAATTCCCATATTAGTGCTCTCTTCCTTCCCACCATGACTCCCATTCCCAGCGCACTCCTGCAGTCACACCTAGCAAACCTGTTCTGCTCCACATTCTGGTCCTTGCTATCAAAAGGGGCAAGTCCCCACAGCTACTGAAGGTGCAGACCAACTGTGACAGAAACCAGTGCGGGGAGGTGTTTCTGACTGGTAGTACTGGGTGCTGGGCATGGCACACTGCTGCACAGGCTGGAGGTGTGGTGACTTTTATGTCACTGGGGAGACGATCATATGTATGTATTAGTATGAAAATTTCCTAAAAGATCTGGAAATCTGATTTCTTGCTCATTAAAGTTTCTCACCATCTGCATCCCTCTATGGTTAAGCTCACCAGGGCCCTCTCCCTACATCATCACTGCTATCAGCCAAAGGCAATGAGTGCTCCTTACAGAGGAATTAGGTTACCAGGTAAAAGGGGCTGCAAAGCACTTCAAGTCAGTTTTGCCACTAGATCTCCATCTCCCTGACTTACAGGGGATTTCAGACATTAACAAGAAAAGCCGATTATACTCAAGGCAGGCCAGCAGAGCAGCCGTTCTCCTCACAGCTCTCATCTGCTGCTTCAGCTCAGTTACTGCTTCTCTGGGGGATTGATCCCGGTAAATGGACACAAGCTTGTTAACTGTAATTTTTGTTGATCCTTCAGCTGCCTAATAATGAAGAATTTGGTGCTTTATTTTTCCTTGTCTCTCTTTAAAACACGGTTAGACCTGCACATAAAAGGCTGAGACACAGAGCAGTCCGTGGTGTATCCACCAGGACCAGCTCTGATCCACTGTTTTAGCCAACAGCTGCTCGCTTTCCCATGCAAGGATCCTAACACAGATTCTGCAAATGAAACAGAAACTTGGCTCGTCTCAAACCTGCATTTGGCTTCCAAAGCTAAGATGTTATTATATCTGGGGCAATGTTCTCGTGTGTTTTTGTTGTGCAGAAAAGGGGCTTCCCCCAAGCAAGATAAAGCCTTTGCAATAACCCATCAGAACTCCAACCTCTCTATATAGAGCTAGAGCTATTATACTATAACAATTTATATATAGTAAATAAATAAATAAACAACTACTATAATGACAGAAATAGCTATTAAGGTTATACTGTGCTATAACAGGATAGTTTTACTATAACAGTGTGTTGTAAAACTGTATTATGTATTATACTAATTCTTTCTGGTAACTCACAGTTTTAACTGGGAAGTTGTTGTACTGTAACAGCTAAAATTCTGTATGTAGAAATTAGATTAGAGCTCTGTAATAACTCTCCAGCCATAACTGGAGGTGAGTCTCTGGGAGCAGACTGCTGACACACAGAGAGAGGTGCCTTAGTGCACCCTCTCCATGGGTCACATGACTCACTGCACCTCCAGACACAATGTCTGCAATCTGCCAAAAGCCTTTCCGAGGAAAACTGCAGATTGCCTATAAGGACCCTCACGGATGAGAACTGGGTGGATCTGGAACATCCTTAACCCCAGCCTCTCCTAGAAATGCTCTCTGATGCAGAGCTTCTCTCAAAGTCTGGGTGCCTCATATTTGTCAGTGCCCTCTCAATGTCTAATTAACTCAATTGATTTAAAGTTGTTAACAAATATTGAGAAGATTCTATATTCAGTTAGAGAAATGCATGCACTTACCAAAAACCCTTTGTTTTGCTGAGAATCCGAGTCCCAGGGTCCTCCACAACAGGTCTTCTGGCTTACAAGGACGAAGACAGAGGCACATCTGTTCGTCACAGGAAGGGCAGGGCTAAAGCCTGCTTATCTAAAGGGTCTGAAAGTCTGAAAGTTGGAGATAACCGTTCTGCCTGAAAAAAGTTGCCCTCGCTTAAGAGTTACGTAATGCATATGGTCCTAGTGACATTCTGTAATGAGCACAAATTAAATCTACTACATATAACAGCTGATCTGGCAAAATAGGAGAAGAAAATTGTATATTTCAATTGAGTCCCTACTGATGCAGTAAAAGATTGAAGCTGACAAAGTTGAGTCTCAAAGAAAATTACTTTAAAATCCGCCATCCACTGGAGACTCAATAGTAGCATATTTTTGTAAAGGATTTGAGAAATTTGGCATATCAATGGAAGTGTGGTAAGCTATTTTGGGGTCAGCATATTGTCAAGTGCTATGCCCAGAAGACTCTATAATAAAAGGATGCAGTGCAGGTAGTAGTTTGTCTCACACACACAAACAAGATCAGGCTGGGTGTTTAACATCTCTCGAAGGATTATTAGAAGACTCAATTCAACAAGCTCTCCTGGCTCTGAAGAAAAAGCTGGTTGTTGGATGATGCAGTGATTTTTCTTTGGGAGGCATCCCACAACGGACTGCTCTGAAAGATAACAAAATGTTCAACATATGGAGACAAAAAATTTCCCAGCCTGCTGAAGACATCAAGCTTGATGAACACTTCAGCTCTTACTATTTGTGTACCAGCTTTAGAACGTCTTGAAAAACTTTGACTGGATTCCACTTCACCCAAGAACGTTCTCTTCTCTAATCCCACATTTGAAGTTGGGTTTGCAAACATCTCTTCTTTAGATCACAAGGGTATTTAAAAGCACCTGCCCAACATGTGTGCTGCAGTATCATGAGGCTGCAATCAGTGGTAAAGTAAAAGAATCTAAAATTTGCCAACATAGCAAGCTAATAATGTCATGCCAGTAGTAGTGTTGTTAAGTAGGATTTATTTGAGGGACTTTTAAGGAATCTTTACCATAAGAACTGGTTTCTTGCTGCTGAAGTGAAACTTTAAGTTGTATTGGAAGAATGTGCTTCTTTGCAGTGCTTTGAAATGCTACTTTTTTTGAAACAAGGGCTCTGCTAGGATAGTTACATTCCAGTCTAATTAAATTGGCTTTTTAATAATTGATTAGACTAAGGGAAACAATTTAATGGAATCACAGAATAGCCAAGGCTGGAAGAGGCTCCTGGAGATGATGCAGGCCCACTCCTGCCCAACAGGCTCAGGCAGAACAGGTTTCCCAGGACTTTCTTAAGTCAGGTTTTGAATATCTCCAAGTCTAGAGACTCCACAACCTCTTAACTCTATTTAATGTTTTCTAGGGACTTTTACTTCACTCACATTGTGCCTTCTATGAATTTCAGCTGATCCCCCAGTGAGTTAAATAGTAGTTTTTAGTCAACTAAAAGGCTCAGTACAGGAGCAGTTAGACCTTGGCTTTCCATTAAAAGTCAACTTCAAAGACACTACAAAGGATCTAAAATGAGTATTCTGTTCTACAGGAATGCACAATAGCTTTTGGATCCATAAGAAATTAGTCAATTACTCTGTATTGTTAGTATTATTGTCCCTTTTTGGAGAATTTTCAAAGCAGCATCATATTTTGTGGAGAAGTGGCCAGAAGTTTGCCTGACTTTGCTTTTAAGCTAGGAAGACAAGACACTTGTCTTGTGTGTGTAATCTGCCCCAAATGCTTCTTTGAGAATGCAAGGAGATATTGCTGTAAACAGATCTTGGGTTTGTTAACAATTATGTCACAGCCTGAAAAGGTAAAGTTAGGTCAGAAAGACAAACAAACACCAGGACTTCCTACAGCATAAGGAGTATGAGCAACTCCCACTGAGTCTGTTTTTAAACTTGATATAAAGCCAAGGCGCTTGGGAATTAGAAGCCAAAGAGCACTTTCTGTCTGTACTACAGATGATTTAAAAAAAAAAAAATCAGAATCCTGATTTCCCATGATTTGTGTGTGCAAGTAACAAACAGCACACTACCCCACAAGGATGTAGACAAGCAGTTAGGAGCTCACTTATTTTATTACACAGCTGAGAATATAAAATCACTAAAACTTATACACTACAAAGGTATTAAAAAACCCCCCAAACAAATCAAACTTTAACCTAAAGCTGCAGAATTTAATTACAAGGCAACATGAAAACAAATGTTGCTTGCTTTCCAAGGCACAATGGTATAAATATTAAAACTGCAAATGTGATATATTTAGTACAAAAATATAAATCTATGAACTAAACATGTAATCTAAATAACAAAACAGCACATTCCCTCCCATGTATAAACCTTAATTTAAAAAATTCAGCTTTACTCTCCGTCATGAAATGTAATACAATAACAATAAAAACTGTTCTTTTAGTGACACCTACTATGTCCCTATTATACCAGCATAAATATGAGTCCTCAGAACATTATAAATTTCACTGCATTATGCAAGAGAAGTTTGGCTGCTTTTTTTTCCTTATAAAACTGATCCTCACAGACCTGACTCTGCAAAGTCTGATTTTATCCAGAGTTTGAAATCCTCCTTGAAAGACTGAGTCCTTGCTTTATTATGTTAATAACTTTGACATTAAATTATTACTTTGTTAAATAATCTTACTCAATTATAAATAGAGTTAAATTCCTGAAAAAGCATTCCTCCTTTAAACCTTGTATCTGAAAAACTTCCAATGCAAAGTGAATTAAAACACTGTTTTATTGCTAACAAATACAAAGAACTGTTCAAAGTGCAAAGAACACAGAATTGTGCCAACTTGACTTTTTAATGAGCCAACAGTGAACTTACAAAGAAAAAAACAATCTATTTTCAGCTCAGCCTTTCTCAAGCAAAAGAAAATATGAAAGTAATAAGGGTCATACAGATTTCAGATCAGTTCAGTAAAAAGAATCTCAGCAGTGATTCATAAAGCTGATTCCTTGGCTGACTGAATGTGATGTAGTAGTTGATTACAGTAGAGCGGCGTTTGATGCTTATGTACAACCCCTTCGATTTCTCTCACAAGCAGATCTGGATATAAAACACTTCCTTCCTTTAAAACTTCTGTAAAACAAAAATATGTTTTATAAATCATTAGCTGCTCTGTATTTCTCTATCCAAGTTCTCTGAAAAGAAGCTGAAATCGAATGTGGAAATTGTTGTTCTACGAGTGGCGCAGTGATGACAACTCTGTTCCTCCCTTCCCTGTTTGCTGAGGTCTGTATTTTGACATTTATGTTCTTGAACACAGGCTGACACTAATAAATTCCAGAGAGCCCATCAAGGAGGCTGGGATATGGTCACATCCTGCAATGGTGGGGCTCTACACTCCATATCCTGTTTACCATCTGTAAAGCCTCCAGTAGTTCAGCTGCCCTGATATTTCTCCCCTGGTGAACACTGGACAAAACATTACATTCTGCACCCAGGTAAAAGGTCAGAGCTCATACCCACTGAAATGCAGAGCAAAGCTCCAGCCTGTCACTTAAAAAGCATTGTTCAAAATACATCTGACTGAAAGTCTTACCTAGGACTGCATTTTGGAGATTTTGATCTGGGTCATCGAGATGTATCAACAGTTCTTGGTACAGAAACTCAATATGACCTTGCATTGAGGATTTCACATCACTGTCCTTTAAGCACTTAAACCAATTAGCCAAGGTGTGAGCAGCTGCCAGTCGTACATCGCACGAAGCATCATCCAGACGCTTTAAAACCTCTGAAAAGGAGCATATAAATAACCAGACAGCTCTGTGAGCAGGGGAGTTAGCTTTTGCATTTGAAAAAAACCCGTCCTCTGTCATCACTGAAATTATTGTTGCATTTATGACATATTTCTGTCTCTTGAACGTTATGAATACACGTATGACATTGCTCTTAAAAGCACATGGTGCATTGTTATTGGATTGTTATGTTGCCAAAAACATTAATAAAGACATACACGAAACATTTTCTAGCAGTCCTAACAAGGTACTATGAAAGTCTATTCATGCATTACACAACTACAGAGTTTAAGTATTTCTATGCCCTATAAAGCACAGTATTTCTATCAAATGCTACTGTTTCAGTGAATGACTGCACTGCAAACTAGTTGAACATGCAAGGTGCAAAGGTATACTTTGACAATTGTCTGATCATGTACTCCTCCAAAATAAAAATGTTTGTTGTTAGATTTCTACTGTGCCATGTAAGAAAGAGTATCAGTCATTAAGACGCTGAGTTTGGGAAAGTCCAAGTTATTTGTATACATAAGAACATAAATTCTGGTACATATATGTGCATAGTCTGTACTTCTGATTCGTGATTTAGCATTTAAACTTCATCCTAAGAAGCATTACAGACCCTGGGTCTATTTTACAGTACAGCACTCTAGATTAGGGTTTTCTTCTTTGGTTTTTTGGTTGGTTTTTGGTTTTTTTTAGATAAAACCCCAACCCACTACCTATTCAAGTCTATTTATGGTAGGCTGAAACGGTTTGCTCTTGGCCCTCAAACACAGCACGGAGAACAATGTGACTTCCATTTATATACTGCAGCACTGTTCTGCTCTCACTATACTTAGCACATTATTTCATAGAGACTAAACTCTGAAGCAATGCAGATGAGGTACTCGCAAGCCCTGCACAGACCGAAATATTGAGTGAAGTTCCACCTAGTGGCCTAAATGGATAACGACGTCGGGAATATTGCTCAGTTCGGCCAAACTGGGAGTGAGGACGTTTCCAAAGGACATGAACTTGTCTGCAACACCCTTCAGTGAAATGAAAAACTGACATTAAAAACCTGCTACAGAAAAGCCTTGCAAGTGCTGTTGGAGTCACACTCAGCAACACCTGCTGAGTGTTTCTCACCTGGAGTTTCTAAAATGTGTCCATGTACTTTATACGTTTTATGCACCCTCTCTCAGCAGTTTAAAACCACGCCTCAGTCTCTGCAGGATTAAGAAACTAAAATGCCTCTCATACACGAAAATGCTGCTAATGGTATGATTCTGTGCAGTGCTTTTCCCATTTCCTTAGTATCTATAAAATTACTCTCTGGGGGAGAACTACCCAAATAGTTAAAATACCCACTAAGAGAACACAGAAATAGCATTAGAATATGCCTATGGGAATGAGATAAGAAAGGGTGAGAAACGAGTCTACATAAAATCTGCCCCTATTAGTACCTCAAACTGTTTAAAGGCTTTTTGTTCTTCATGTGGGATTAAAGCCAGATGCCACAGTGACATGCAGCAATATTTGTTATTTCCTAGTCTGTGTTAGTGCTTTCAGTGCTACAGTGAGTCTGCAGGTGATGTGGACAACCTGCACAGTGAATCCTAAAGCCATACAGCAAATCTGCCAACTGCTCCAGCAGGATGCTTTTCACCTTCAAAAGCTGAGCTAACTGTGATGCTTTGCGTAAAAAAAGCAAATGTAAGTTTTAAACTGTGGAGATCTTGATTTTAAAAAGCAAAAAACAAAACCACTCCCACCACTAGTCAAGTAAACATTTACACTTACCTGTGTAAGTGTTCTTAAACTTATCTTCATCAAACTGCCTCCCACAGGCTTTTAAAAAAGCATCAACAATACGACAAGCCATCAGTCGAGTAATTTTAGAGTCTTCATCCATGGAAGCAATGATTTGGGGCATTAGCTCATCTTTGACTTTTAAGATCTACAATTAATAGGAAAAGCATAGAAGAATAACAGCTTTTCAGTCACTGTAATACAATATTCTCAGTGGTTAGAGCAGTTACCATTAACTCTGAGAGATGCTGGTTTGCTTAGTTTGAAAAGTTAACTATAAAAGTGAAAATCTCAGAAGTTACACAGCTCTATTTTTGCCTCTAAGCTTGCTTGGAAAATGAAAATCCACCAGTCCATCATCCAGCTCATGGATGCTCAGTATACATGCAGATGAGTTTTATGTAACTTGTAAAAGCTTTCAAACTTACTCGCCTGTAAAAAAAAAAACAAACCCCAAACTGTTGCCAGGGTTTAACCAAACCGGAGCTGAGGATGACGCGCCCGTACCAGGAGATGGCGCTCCGGCTCTGACAGGGAGCGATGGGATGGGATGGGATGTGTTGGGGAAGGGTCGGAATTTCACCTTATTATGTACATTTCGTATCCATTAATGAAAAAATAGGCATTAAGGCATCGATTCAGAAAAAAAATGTTAAACTGGAATAGTAATCTTGACATCAATGTTTTTGTATGTGTGAACTCAACTAGTTATGTGTTTTTAAGCACTTTTTTCTGATATAAAGGCAATAAAGACTATGAACATTTCGTAACATTTTAATTCAATCTACTTTTCAGAAATGCCCTTATATTTAAAATATTTGCAGTGCGTTATCTCCACGTGTCATTTTTTTTGCAAAGATGCTTCAGAAACCCCCTCAGATTCAATTAATCCTTAATCACTGGTGGGTAACATCTCTCTAAGTGCAGTCCTTGCTAGGTCTCCAGTTTCTACAGATATTCTTCATTTCCATCTCAACTCCTCCTGCCCTTTCCAGGAGTCTTTTAGATTTTATTTTTTTTTCCCCTAAATGGACCTGTGAGCTCCAAGGCAACCAAACAACTTGTCTTTTCCACATGACACAGCAGCATGTCCTGACTAGTTCCAGTGCTGCTGCACAGGCACAGGCTACGGGTCCAATAATACCAAGTGTTGTGTTAATAGTGGGCAGTAGTTTGTGCTACAGAACTGATGTTATACTAGAAAAAGTATCTACAAAAATGTGATGCTGGACAGTTCTACAGCTCAGCATATTGCTGGCCTCAGGTCTCCTACCAGGACATAATCATCCCTTCACAGATTGTTTCAGTCATTAATATTCGATTATAATTAATGAATTTTATTATGAAAACTGTCCATCCATCTGAAAATATTACTTACCCTGAGGATTCATTATTTTTTTTTCCCTCCCTTGCATTTATTTGGTTTTCCTGCCTAAGATTTCAAAGGATGAGAAAGAGAGAATTTACCTCTTTTGGTGAAAGCATTTCACAGTGGATGAGAGCCCAAAGGCACAATACAGCTGTAGCACGGATGGCAGCTGCTGTTCTTCCAGCATGCCACTGCAGATTAGGAGCCAGGATGTCTTTTATCACAGTCTCAAGGTAGCTAGGGAACAGCCTGAAGCCAAAAATAAGAAAGCAAAATAAAGGTTCATGAGAAAGTGATAAAGAGACTGACAGGATGTAGAAGAGAATGTTCTGTCATAGAAATATAGACAGAAAGGGGAAAAAAGAAGACTCTAAAAAAAAATAAATAAAATCATATAAGCCAATGTGATTGTAATGTATGTGATAAGATTTTCATAACTTAATTTTTCTAGATAATATTTAAACAAATACCTAACATTCATGGAAGGGGGAGGCTAGACTTTCTCCCACTTCAGACGATGCCCATGACTCAGTGTTATCTTGGTAAACTACTTACCTTCTCTCTGTCTCACTTGCTCTGTCTGTGAAGTGGAGATAACACACCCCGTGTGAGTGCTGTGAGGATTCATTAATATCTGTGAGGCCTTTTGAGACTGTCCAGTGAAAAGTATTTATAATGTCAAAAGAATGACTGCTATTGATGATACCTGAACTCCTGATACTGCAGGGAGCCTACAAAGAATACTTCAACTCTCCCTTGGCTCAGAAACTCATCTCCCTCAAGGATGAGAGGTCTGTAGGATTTTCTGATGGCGCCAGTCCCAATATTAGTTTCTTTTTATCACAAACACAAACTTGTGATGTTTTAGCTGATGCTTTTTCCTCCTCTTCTATTAAATGACTATTATGCTAAAAGTTGCTGTGAGAGTCAGTAATTCTAATAGGCAGGATTCCCTCATACCCCTTTAATTCCAGCTCAAACAATTTTAAATTAAGAGAGAGAGAGATATAGGTCTTACACACAAGTTAATTAATACTTTGCTGCATCAAAGAGACATTAGTACCTGGCTATGGCCAGTAGCTTGAGCTCAGGTTATTCACAGCCCTACAAATCAGCTGCCAGCATGCAAACAGATTGGCAAGTGACAGACTAAATCTACCCTGATTCCTGCCCACTCTGTTCAAACTTCTGCTCAAACTGTGACCACCTGAGTGCCAAACAGCACATGACCACCCTGGTGCTTGGCAGAAAGGGAAGAAGCTCTTGTTGGCTTTTCTAAGAGTCCTGCATTTACAGGATGAATAAGTGGCTCCTTTGTATATGTGCCAAGCCACTTGAGGAACAAAACAGGTACATGTTAACAACTAACTTATCACTTAAAAAAATTCCACAAAAAAGCAAAGCAGAATCATCCAGCAATAAAAAAATTCCATAATAATATTGTATCAATGTAATAAGAAATATAATTGTAGCTACTTCTTTCCTGTAACTGCCTTTTACCCATTGCAAGTAGTCCACGTTATCTGGGTATAACTTGACTAAAGCACAATAGTTATCTACTGACACACAAACACCTGCAAATCTCTACCTGCAACATGGTGAGAACAGATACACCTGGCTGCTGCTTTGCCCTGTGGCAAGAGAGCCCTGGGTGTCTGAGGAAGGCAGAGATCCAGCCACTCCTGCTTCCTGTCAGCAGATGGCACTTAAGTAATAACAAGAAATCTGACATCCCATTAGACACGTCTACATTTGTAAACCCCTTTAGATCTATTATTTTAAACACATTTTTGAGAATTAATAATGCTCTATTCAAAATGTTGCTGGAAAAAAAATATAACTAATGATCACCATCGTTCCAAATTTCCTTTCAGCTCCAAAACTAAAAGCAGCTCTGTGCTATCTGATCAGTAGCTGCTTCTGTTTTTAATAAAACTTTCTGTTAAAATGCAATGAAAAATGATCTGTGAAAACACAAAGGTAAATTCCACCAGTATTATGTTAACCATAATGCTGAGCTGTTTGTGAGAATCTTTGTTCTAATGCCTTGATATAGAATCAGTAAAGCAGTATCTGGCAATTATCTGACTCAGTCATGTCAGGCTCAAACACAATTAGATGACCACACAACTGTGTTTAGCAGAATAACCAAAGGCCTTCCTATCCAAGCTGTTAGAATAATTTTAAGGAGCTAAACAAATTAGTGGCAGCAGTGAAAGCAAAAGTGCAACTGCAACTTATTGCTAGTTCCCAACGCTATCTCTCATTACCATTAAGATGTATTTTTGCTGTTGGTGATACAATTAAATTCTCTCTCTTTCCATTTTCAGATCTTATTGTTGTAAATCTGTGTAACTTAATTCTAAAAGTGAGTCATTTCCATGAAAGTAAACAAGTAATCTACTGACAACAAAGACATTTCTTATATGAGTAGGGAATTTAATATTACACTCTGAAAATATAGAAACAAGTAACAGCACACTTCACACTGAAGCTTTCAGTTCAAAAGGTAGCAAAGACTACAGTGGAGAAAGTCCAGACTTAAATTTATTTATATATTTTTAAAAATTATTGCACTCCACCCTTCTAATGATTGTTAAAAAATACAGCAAGAAGATGGTGGGAAAGTCTTTTTTTCTCCAAGACATGCCAACATGGGCATGGTTATAAGGGTTAAATAACTACCATGGTCATTACTTCTTAATGCCCCTGTAGTGGTCAAATAGCTGTGTGAAATCAGACCTCCCCTTACCCCTGAGAATTGATGGTTTCACTTGCTTTCTGGAACAACTGTGATAAAACAGTAAAAAGTTTCAACCGCATCTGGGGATCCTTGTTTGGCTGAAGACACGTCTTCAGAATGGGAATAAAGTCATCGAGAGCTTCACCTATGACAGGACCTAGAAAACAAAGAGCTAAAGCTTATTTCGGACTACGAATAAGTTCTATTTAGGTGTTTAACATGCGAGTGCATTAAAATTTGTAAATTTTAAAATAGGATTTAGCTTTCCACTCTTGCATGGCAGCTGTTAAAGTATCTGTGTTACGTTGTTTTTGCCTAGTCTAAGGCTAGGCAAAAACTTTTGGTTTCATTAAACTTAATGAAAAATTATACTGAATGTGGTATGACCCTGACACCCCTCTCCATACAACAACATTAATTATACTTTTTTCTTCTTTCAGGTTTTTCCACATGCAGCCTTCAAGGAAAGGTGTTCATGACTCCTGCAGGCACAGGAAAGGGCATGTTTGAAAAGATCAGCTTCAAAACTCGGCTAATAGAATTAGTGCAGCAGCATTCTTTCTCCATGTCTAAGTAATGCTTATTTGCACTTTACAAGAAAATCTAAAATATGATGAATTTTAGGAGCTATTTGAAATAAAAATATTTTCTAAATTAATTCTTCAGTTTGTCAATATTTTCACACCTACGATGAATTCTGTTTTCACCTCTAAAAATAAACAAACAGAACTCTAAGCTTTAATCACAACATTTTCAGAAATTATTTTCCTGAAACTGAAGGAAGTTTGTGTCTTTCTCCTTGATAGTGATTAACACCTGCATGGTTTTAAAGAGGAAGAGTACATAGAAACTGTACACATGCTCTCTTCTGTAAGCTTCTAGCTGTAGAATGCTCTTTCTGCTCTGTTTTTGCAATAAACTACTCTAGGAACTTCTTCAGCTTTGCATCCCTGAGATGCACATTCCATTCAACTCCAGTCACTCAGAAAATGTTCCCAGGAGACACAACACTGGCATTTCTGATGACAAGAATATTCCTCACACATGGAATGGACAGTTGAAGTATTCAAGATTCCAAAACAAGTTCAATAGCATTTAATAATTTCTGGAAATTTAATGTTTAAAATAATAATGACAAACACCCAAATCTTCACTGTCTAGACTGAAGCAATAGAGGGTGTTGAACTGCAGTTTGCTAAATGTCTGTGCCAACAAATAGGTCTTTATTTTCACAGCATTTATTCAAAATACACCGCTTCATGTGAGTTCTGAGACATTCACAAATACTACTATTTTATCAAACTGATAACAGCAAATTCAACAGATGGAAAATAAACAGAATAAACTAGATTGCTAATTTCATTTTAAGCATACGTTCCTGGAAAACAGTAAAAACTGAGAAATGTGAAATGAGTAAAGCTGATTAAACTGATTAAAAACAACATTATGCGTGGGAATGAAAAGAAGGGAAAAAAAATAGCTCTAGGAGCTGCTGTGTCAGACAGAAAACACAGACAATAGCATATTACCAGTGTTGGGTGCAAGCCAAAATGTTTGCCCAGACATTTGATGATTTATTTAGCATTAAGGAAAACAGAGACAACTGTCTAGAAGTCCCTCAGTCATGGAAATGGGAGTACAAATATATAGAAAAGTTGGCCTCTCGGATCTTGCACTGAAGAAACTTTCTGTTCTTTCCACAGATGAAAACCAGAAAAAGTGCTTATGCTGGTTGCTGCACAAACCAGCAAGTGGGTGCTTCACATAGGTTTGATGAGGGGTTTTTTGAGATTCAAGGATTAAATGCATAAGATAGAGCCCTTTAAAACACACCTATCCCCATTTAACTGTCTGCAGTAGCCACAATGATACTTCATCTGTAGTTGGAATGACTGTCTGATGTGCCCTGTTCAACCAACACAAAGGGAAAAACAAATCAACAGGACTTTCTATTCTAATAATCTTCAAATGTGTGTCTAGGTGAGAAGAGCTGCCTGTCACCACATCCCTCGCTGTAGCTGCAACCTGGAGAGCTGTGTCAGGGGATGTTCACTGTGCAGCACTGAAGGCATGTGAAATGTGCACCTAGGTGTTTCACTCATCTCTACACAGCCACCTGTTGAAGAACAGTGAGGAAGTGTTTGTCACAGAAAGTTTAGTATCCTCTGAAAGACTAGTGAATGGATGGAAAAAATAGATACATTTTTGGACATATAAGCTACATCATTTAACGCTCACCTATTTCATTCACCTGGAAGTGCACTTTTCTGTAAGTGCTTTTAACAGGCTCCTTGCAGACAAGGAGTCTTCTGGAATACGAGCTGCTTCAACATTTGTTTTCCATTATGTTCTTGTGAAGTTTCTGAGCATTACACTGTTCGTTACAAAACACAAGCTGGCTGCGGGCTATGGAGATTGAGATTTGATTTTTTTATTTTTTTTAGGATTACTAAGTAAGTGGTACCTGAATGGGTTGCGATGACCTCTAACTGTAACACTTCTGGAGAGTAGCAGCTCCACCCATCACACGACACTGAAACCCACTCCATGAGCTGAATTATGTGCTGCTTGTAGAGACAATGAAAACTATCCAGTTGCTGCACTTCAGCTAATGAAGACATTGTTTTCTCCACCTGTTAAAGCAGAGACAGGATACTTTAACTGAAACAATGTTAATAAAAAACCACCAAACTTTTTAAACTCATAAGAACAGAAGGGACACAAGGAGATTTTCATTGCTTCTACTTAAACAATCAAGATTGATATTTAATGTCTGCCTATACTCCATCCATTAACTTTTACTTGAAGTGAAATGTTTGTACTGATTTCCAAATGAAATCATGAGGAACACAGCAACCTAACAGCAAAATGAAAGAGTCTCTAATCCGTGTGCAGACCTATCCAAAAACTAACCACATCATAAAAAAGGCTCTTGGTGCTTATAAAGATGTAGAGATTTTTCTCCTTAATTTAAGAATGATTTAAACCAGGGAATTTCTCACAAGCCCATCTAGCAGGCTATGGCAGCTTCCAAAAACTATTGCTGTCGCAGGTCAAAGACCTGGCACTTCCCCTCTCCCCCTTCCTCCCCCCCCACATTGAATTATGCAAGACACTCTCTCTTTACAGTAGCTGGGCAGGATCACTCTGAAATTCTCATCTTCTGTTGCTTATAAGTATCAAAATTCACTGTTACATTAGAAATATCTTCTTCATATTTACAGTTAGGCTATTCCATGAGACATGCAAATAAAACATGTACAAATGAAACATGTAAAAAGAACTACTAAATGAATTCCAGACATGATCACGATGCTTGGCAAGGAAGCCTATAGGTTTTCTTAATCATTTGCAGCACATGTATTTCAAAGGAAAGGAAAATTTGCTTTTACAATTCCTGAAGGCATCTACCAGAAGCATAAAATTTCTCCAAGCAAGAGATTAAAAGCATGCTGGAAGCAGCATCTTTAGTCTCAGTGATTTCAGTAGACAGGGAAGCAATGATGAGGAGCAAGACACCATTAGGAACCCCACTAAGGAATAACATGTGCTGCCAGCATGGCCAGTTCCAGCAGAGAAAGATGTAGTGCAGAGCTCTGAGTGACATCATTTGACTCTCATTGCTTCAGTAGAACTACAAATTGTACTCATAGTTTTAATATTTTTAAGCTGAACTCAACCACACAAGTTAGCTGGAACATGTCTAGGACCTTTAGACTCTTACAGAGTCTAATCACTTGCCAGACAAAGATGTTTTTATGAAAGTACCAGATGTGGAGAAAATAAATGAGAATTCTAGGGAAAAAAGTATATAAATCAGGATTTGCTAAGGACAAAGGTTACTCTTAAGGCAGGTTTGCCTGCCTCAAGCACAGTAGATTTCTCCTTTCTGGAAGCATTTTGCCAGTCAGCCAAAACAACTCAGATAAATGAATATTTTACATATAAGTTATTTGTAAATTAATTGGTACATTTTACAGAATGTGTCAAGACAGAAACTGTTCCCCATTATTAATCACACCCTAATGCACAAAGAGTTTTTTCCAGTGAACAAGAGATACAAAATAATACATTGTTCACTTATGATTTAAAATAAACTTGCAGTGGTTTCAAAAGTGCAATTAAAAAGAGAGAATAAATTAAATATGCCTGTAGACTGATGCATATGTTCTCATTAAGAAGAGTCTCACAGTAAAATAAAATAAATAGCAAACGTGATTTTCTTTCCCTTATTTGAAAGTTTAATGACACATTATTTTCACACTACTACTCAAAGTGTGCCAAAAGAAGAGCCAAGATAACACTGGTGATGAAACAAAACCTTATCTTTAGGTCACCAGTTAAACCACTGACAAGCTCAAATCATGTTTAACAGACTCACAACTGAAATGGGTTGCAGTCTCTCTGGGGCTGTAAACCACCCTCCTGCTCGTGCCACTGCTGTGCTCAGTTGGTGGTCTTGGCCTGTCTCCTCAGCCCCAAGCAACCAGAAACGTGAGGGACACAAAGCAAAGGGGCCAAAAATCAGGTGAGACCTGAGTGTTCACCATCAGGTCACATCAGCTGTGATCTCCACTATCTCAGTGATCTCCTGTCCCCTTGCAGTAAAGCCTGAATTGAAGTTCTATGATGATAATTTTTGGATAATTTATGTTTATACTCAAAATCTTTTGATCCTGAATACAGATTTCTTTTCCGAACAACAAACTCATACTTGTACAGCAGCTGTAATGCTTTTGTTCTGTATGTTCTTAAGCTATTTTAACAGGGACTTCTTGCCTCCTGCAAGATGTAAAGCTCACTTTGAAGTTTCAGAATAGTCAGTAACTGGAGGAAAAAAATAAAATTCAAGCCATATTTGTCTTTGTGGCACTTTGAAATACTGCAATTATGTAATCTCACTGCCAGATTTTCTATGTGTCTCGCTGAAAGAAAGGCTAATGAGAAAAAAGATTCTTATCCAAAGTCTTGTCAACTTAAAAAATCATCTGCAACTGCAGGAACATCTTAAACCTTCAATAATCTTGGGAGATTAACTTTTCCATATATGAAAATTAGGATTTATTGCTATGAAACTGCTTTCTCTGTAGGAGTATGAAGTTTAAGGTTTTAAATGGACCTTGCTGACTTTATAGTCCACCGCAGGGATAAATAGACAAGATACCACAAAACATTCCAGATCCATCTGTCCCAGCCTTACTTGGACAGATTTTTTTGTCTCAAAAAAGCCCCAAGCAAACAAACAAAATCCCCAACCCCTTCAAAATCCCACTCTTGCACTGGCTCTCCATTAGACAGATCATCACCCCAACCCTTTTTGACCTGTGAAGTCTTTTCAGTACTTGTTTCAAGCTTTGTTCTACTTTATTTCTTCCAGAATACCTTATGCCTCCTTGGAGGCAGCCTGTCAGCTCTGGGGCCATAAATACTGATGCTACACAGGCCTTTGGAATACCATGCCTGGGAGCAAGAGAAAAGGAAGTAGAATAGTCACCGCATTTAAGGTGTGTGTTTGAAAAAAGACAACTGGGATAGGTCATAATTGTCCTGCACGAGGATGGCTCGCTGATTTATATGATATTTAGCTCGAGGAAGAAAGAGGAAGAGAGAAATAAGGGGTGAGATAATGTTAAGCCAAGAAAGCTCATCTATTATCTGGGCATGTACAGCTGTCCTTGATTTTAAAGCATTCCTGCGACATTTAAACTTTTGTTTCTGGTGGGGAGGTAAAAAGGTCAACTACTGTAAAATCAGCCTGATCTCTGGCTAAAGATTAAAAAATTACTACAAAAACATCACTTTTTTAAGGCTAGTAGTGCTCTGGATCTCTAGGTGAATGGTTCCTTAACAGACAGAAAGTAAAAGTGAGTTTTTTCCTGTGTATAACCAAATATTCACTGGCCAGTGACTTATATCCCAAATTGTAAACCCAACCCCAATCTTAATTCTGTTATCAACCATATACAGTCTGTACAGTGAGAGAAGAACAACCTGGGACCATCCACAAAGTGTCTCAATAGTAAAAGTCAGAAACACAACAGAATATTAAACCAGCTCATAGTTTACCTTTTCTTTAAGGTCCTGAGAGGATGGTATTGCCATTATGGTCACCAAAACTTTCATTAGCTGCAAGCTAATTTCTTTGCAGTCTTCCTGGCACACTTCAATCAATGCTTGCACACAATAAAGCAACTGCTCCACATAAAAGGCCTGATTTTTAAGAAAAGCATACAGTTATTATGTTTTGTTTGAAAATACAACATTCTTTTTAAGAGATGGGAAATGACAGTAATAAAATCTGAGCACTGTATAATCCCTACATTGGTAACATATTGATAATTTCTTGTTAGCTCTTCTGACGACCAGCATTCTACTTTTTATAGAATACAGTATAATCTTCCTCCCACACTGTCTGTTTGTATTTACCTTGTCCTGTTAGTAAAATAAATGACCCTGCTCTTAATCACACAATGGTTCCACTGGTGAATGGTGAATAAAAACATCAAAGCATTTTGAAGTGCTTGCTGATAGTACTTTCTCTTTCTGAAGTGCAATTTGTTAATTAATAACGTATTTGTTACAACTCTTTGAAATATTATTCCATGTTTGACTATTTTGGATGAACAGTGACAGTTAAATACATAAACCAAGAAAACCTGAGCGTTTGCTTTTATCTCAGCCAATTTATCTCATTTGATTCAATATAATTCATGTTATCTTGATCCAACTGATACCAGTTGAAGTCAATACTGTTGTCAGTTAGTTTGCCATGACTCCTATGATAAAGTGCATCAGACATTCATGGAGCTGTCAGTGAACAGAAGGGGCCATTGTTACAGATTTACTTCCAAAAAATAAATCAAGTCTAGGAATAGGTTAGCTATAAATGTTATTAATCTCATGGACGTGGTCAATCCTTAGCTAAACAGTGTCTGTGAAGCATTCACTGGCTAAAATAGAGAAAGATTGTTTTCCAAGACTAAAGGCTAGAACAATTCCCCCAAACCTTCAGCTGCAGATGGATCTGACTCCTGCAGCTAATGCCAAATGGAAGTGGTAAGCTTAAACCTCATAGCAATTTTGCAGATATACTTCAGGGAGCTGTTATTTGAACAATCAGGTTACAGTGCTTCCACTTATATGAGTTCCTAATCATCACAGGCTTCATGGAGATTAAGGTTAATTCCTGCATCACTGGTACATATTCCATTAGGGAAGAAACCTAATGAGGGAAGAACTTCAAACATATATCTTACATTGGCTCAAAAAGACAATTAGGCCAGGTTCAGTCTGCACACATGAATAACTGTTTTAAGGGGAAGCCTGCATCTGACATGAAATCAGAGTTTCTAAAGGCACAGCACTGGTCCTTTTTTGGTCATCTTAACAGCAGAAGCCTAACAAACTTCTGGTGGAATGAAACCCAGGATTTCATTTGTGGGGAAAATTATAGGGATTCCTCTTGTGCATCTCTAACAGATCTATTTCTACATTTGAATAAGTGAAGGGAAAAAAAGTCTTGCAGGTTCAAAAATCTCCATTCCACACTGAAGAGAATCTCTCACCTCCTTATACAGCAATTGATGAATATTCTTCATATGCTAAAATAAAAATGATCTTCAGGCTCAGCCATTAATTAGGGATACACTTGGAAGTAAATTTCTAATTAATCAAGATCTTCCTTCTAGATTCAAGAGAAGGAACCAGGCCCTAAAGTTTACACAGTGTGCTCCTAAATGTACTCATAATGTACTGGTACCTTCCTTTTTTAAATGGGAATTAAGAATACAAAACAAAAATAAGATGACATTAAGAGGGAATCTTTCTTGAGAAACCTGACATGCCAATTACAATGGACTGTGAAAAATCTTCAGTCATTTTTACTGATGAGGATTGAAATATATGATCTTGTTTGGATTGTGAATACAAGGAATTTCAAAACATGGGTTTAACTCTGCCTCAGGATCAGCCAAGGTAGCCCTCTGTTAGTACAGTACTTACTAAACAGCTGCTTCTCTCCCTGCCGTGCCTCTTCATTTTCCTACCACTATATGAAGCCTTTCACAGCAGTTCTCAAGCTTGAACCCACATCTGCTGAGAGGATGGACTGTTAGGAAGCTTTTGGAAATAGCAGCTCTGCCCAGGAAACAACAACATGGCCAGGGAAGCTCCTGTTTTGTCTCAGACACACATCCACAACTATACCCTGAGATAGGGTGGGGTAGGTGTGCAAGGGATGCGTAAGAGTGGGAGCATTTAGGGAGAACAAGAGAAGAAATAAGTTGGTCAAAACCTGTAGCCTGCTGTGTGTTTTCCAGCTTTCCTTACCTCTTCAGATCGCTGACAAACTCCAGGTTGGGAAAGTGTGTTGCCAAGCTGGGCCACGTGAGGCTGCAAGATTTCTTTTGGGCTCCCTCGAATCACTGCAGCCAGAACCATCACACAGGAGGGTTTGGGTGTCTGCTCAAAGGCCGAGGTGATCAACCTCAAAGACACCTTCAGGCTGACAAACGTGCCAATCAGTTCTGCTGCTTTCACACTCTGAAAAAGGAACAGGAAAACTTGAGGATTTTCCTGAAAACACAAAGACTATTCAACGTATCATAGGCTTTTTCTTTTTATGATTCCAGCTGTTACTTTAAATGCTCCAGCAGTTGCCTTGTAGGCCTTTTCCACTCGCTCAGTAATGATTATACGCATGAAGAAATTTTCTTGACGTGTTCAGTAAGCACATAATAAGGCATGCAAGCACCCTTCTCATCAGACAAACCTGCATGAGAAAGCAGTGCACAGAAATGAAATGTACAACTTTCAGTGTAATAAAGTTTCTGGTTTAGAATAACCAGATGTTGCAGAGTTAGTGGTTTAGCGTTTTGTCCTCCAAAGGCTGTTCCAAGGCTTACTCTTAACGGACCCACCCCCCATCTATTAAAAGCTGCAACTATAAAAACCTGAAAGAGGAATTTTTTGTTATTGTACTATACCTTGAAGCTGATATTACAGATCTGGTTTGGTGTGGAAGCAGTGCCATGGGGGAACTGCCCACTGCTTTCAATTCTTACTTCTTTAACTGAAAAGGCCTAAATTATTATTTATTTCCCATAGTACTGGCACCCTTTGATGCCATCCCTGCCTTGTAGACATATCAGCATGTTATATTCCACGTGAAATGCCACATCAGAACTTACTGCCTGACACCCAATGTTTACAATCACTTGCACAATAAACAAAATACAATCAACTACTGCACCACTACCTGTGCAACAGCAAAACTTCTTCCTAACCTCTGTGTTTAATGGTTGGCTCATTCCCCTACAGCTTACCTCTCTTTGTATATTATTTTTAGTCTGGTGATTTAGCCATGGATTTTTAATTGCACCTAATTAATACTTGAATCATGCTAAATTCTTTAGTCTCAACGGAATAACACAGCCATGGGTTCTATAGTTGAAATCTGCACTATTTATAGCTGTTTCCTTTCACAAAGACTCAAAGGAGTTGTAACATACTCCATGTAGATGTGAACCCTGTCCTCCTCCTTATTTGCCATAGAGAAAAAGACTGTTACTGCTCTGAAAACAGGACAGTACAATTAAACAGCTCAAAAATATGAGTGGATACATTTGCATGGATCAATTTACTTATTTTAACAGGGGAAAAAGTAAAAAAAAAAAAGAAACAAAGGATAAAAGACCATCTGGTCTTTTGTACATCTCATTTGGTATTACTAGGCTGGAAAAAGAGATGGACATTTTCCAAGTTGGTGGCTGAAATGGGTTCTACAGTAACAAACTATAGAGGATGTTATCACAGTACCCTGAGAAGCAGCACCACTAAGAGATAGAAGGCATTCACAAACACAAGTTGCTGAACCTTATGTTTAGGCACAAAGAAAAGTACAATTAAATACTGAAATCATCTCCTAATTGGGAATAAATCTCTTGGAAGCACCTGCAAGAAGATTAGTGGTGGAATTCCAAGAAAGAGACAAGTATGGTCAATAAAAGGCAAGGAAAAACTATGTGCTGCTTGAACACATACTTTTGAATTTAGAACTACTGCAATAAGCAGACAACAGGAAATTTGGTCAGGACAGCAAGACCACGTGGCTTTCCTCCCCTAATTATTTAAGTTTTCTTGTAGCCCAGCTCACAGCAAGAACCTAAAGAAAAGCCTGATTTAAAGGTTGACCATTTAGTTGGACTACCTGTATCCAGTAAGCAGAACACATTCTTCCGATATCCCAAAGCAATAACATTTGTAGCTTTAAAGTAAGTTACATGGATTTTTTTTTATTGTTATACATATGTTCTCTTCCTCGTGTAGAAATAGGAACAGAAGATTTTATCTTAAAACTGTAAAAACATTTGTACCACCTGTCCTTCTGTTGCTAAATTTATCTAATGTCTTCAACTACATCTGTTTTACTGATTTGTTGATCAAAGTGTTGAAAGCATTAACTGTTAGAAAAAATGAAACTAATTATTCCTCACAAATTACCAGCATTTTCTAAGTGTTAAGTCAAGGATTCAAAAACTGAATATGGGTATCACATGGAATAAACATACCTCGACATACAGTTGGATTATGGAGCAGGGGGAGATAAGTGAAATTAACCTGAAAGGGCATGACCTGCACATTTCTTTTACATTGAATTTATTACCTCAAGGCTTTTATACTTTAATCCACTGCTTATGGTTTTTAGAGTGGTCATTATGAATGCTTCACGGAGTTGGCAAATGAACTGAAGTTTAAATACCTTCACTATTAGTCTTCTACATTTATTTTAACACACTAGGTAAGTACAACGTTCATGTGTTTTTAACACCCATAAAAACCTGAGCCTGATCCTTCAGCAACTTCCAGTGACCTATGGTAAGGTCAGAGTCAGGGCTATAAAGGACAGAGTCTTTATTCAGTGTACAACAGCTTCTGTGAGAGACTAAACTTACATTTTTAACCACTTCACTCTCTTCATCCAAGCACGACTGGTACAAAGTTCTGAGCAGCAGCTCCATGTGCTGTGTGATGTGATCCTCTGCATGCAGCAGTAATGTGTACAGGAGCTGGGATGCTTTTACTCTTGTGCTTACAACCCAGTCTGTCATATCATGACAGAGACCTGGAAGGATTTTGGAGAGGTTTCTTGACACAAGTTCCCGACAACCTAGTCCTGGTCGAGTCACTAGAAGAAAGAAAGAAACAAAAACAAAACAAAAGGAAATATCAAAGGGAAAGCCAATGCAAATTAATCCTTAGAAAAGTTTAGAACTTCCAAGGTAAGAGCTCTGGGTATCTGCTTCAGCATAGAACAAAATATTCCAAATGCTTCTGAGGAACTTGCCTGTGCAAGTTGCATTTCTTTAATATATATTGCAGAATTTAAACTCCACACAGCTCTTTGAAAAGTTATGTATTTATTACTGGATGGTGATGTAGATTTCATGTTTTAAAATGTTTCCAGAAGAGAAAGAGAAAGAGAAGTTAATGTGTGACATTATCCACTTCGGAAAACACAGCTTAACAATTTCAATTTTTATGGCAACACAAATCTCTTTATAAAAAACAAACTGAAACACACAGAGGTGAACAAAAGAAATACTTTTGCACGCAAATGTTGTGGTCTCGCTGAGTTAAATATAATTTGGAGTGGGAAAGAAAGCTAAAAGTCACAAATAGTACAGAGGACATGAGCTGCAATGAAACAGACAATGTCAATTGTGCCCTCTAAAGGAAAAGGTTAAAAGTGTATCTGGCAAATTGAAAGCAGAAAGGGCACTAACTATGGCTTGTACAGGTTCTGTGTAATAAATCAGGCCAACAAATTGATAGTATTTTAAAAATCACAGCTACTATATGATCCCTTTTCTTAGGCCTTTTCAGGAAAAGCAGCTCACTGATGTGCCTCTTCAATCTCTCAAAAATTAAATAACACATTTAAACTGGAAAGAAAGATTATACAGGAGCTGGAGGGGGAAGGAAAACTGACTAAAGTAAATGGTCTAAAGACTACAAAAGGCTTATAAATGCTTATGAAATACCTAGAACAGGGAAAAAAGTAAAATTCAAGCATCAGGATGTGAATTGCTGCTTCATTTGTCAATGGAAGATAACATTTTGGATCATGAAAACTGACAACGAATAGCAAAAGGTCAAATAAAGAAATCAACCTGAGACAGCAAATACAGACTGTGCATCCTATTTGACCCCAGGCAGAATTTTGTTTGAAGAATTCAGACCATTCTTTATCGGCAATTCCTTCATTTCAGATGTTCAAATGCAGGTATTTATCCCTGTAGCTACTCCTGTCAAAGACTTCCCTGCTATAAACTGTCGGCACCTGTATCCTAAGGCAATGACTGCTGTGGCTCAGTGGAAGCTGTTCAGCTGGGGGGATGACACCAGGTATGGGGTCTAACTCTGGTCTTCCTCTGACCTGCAGGATCTGTCACTGTGAGATCAAAGCAGGGGGGCTCCTGTGTCAGCTCCATTAGTTTGACAGTTGGACAGTTCAGTAAAATGTACCTTTAACTCACAGTTGCAAAAAATATTCCAGTACATTCAGTAAGTCAGAAGAAAGCACAACAAAGTATTAAAATACATATCATTATATTAAAAAAAAATAAAAATCCAACACTAACCTCCCTTCCAAAACCAAAACCAACCAACAAAAAGCCCCAACCAGACTTAAATGTTTGTGGAGAGCAAAGAGAGGAAGGAGACATATCATAAAAATCATCTATATACAGTCTGTGGTAGGACACCACGAATTAGTAGTTGAAACTAAGGTATGTTAGTGGCTCTGATAAAGTTTTGTGTCTGTAAGATTAAGCAGCCAATCATTCTTTCCCCTGATTTTTCTTCTCTTGTCGCATAAAGCCTGATTGTTAATAAGACATTCAATTTGGAAGTAAAGATAAGCAGGAAGAAATGATATCTTAAAGTCACCATTATCTTGGGACTCAAGTCCAAAATTACCAGGTTATTTCTTCAAAATATTCTTTAGTTACATGTGTACATATATACACATACATATGTCACATTCAAGCCTTAAATGCATCATTCTACCAAGAAAATTCAATTAAATGTGGAGCTGGAATGTTGCATATTTATTGTGCTAAGAAGATTATTTTGGAAAGCACATATCATTTTACTATGAAGTAATTGAGAGATGCCACTCTAAAAAGCCCCAATGAAAGAGCACACACACACACAAAGCCCAATACACACCTAGAGAAAACTGACCAAGACATAACACTATCAGCTGTACAAATGGTAATCCCTGTTTCAAGGACAAGGATATTAAGGCTTTTATGACCTTCTCTATATCATGGTAATTGCAAAACAAGTGACTGGAGCTCAGACACTCAACTTCATCACTTTATGTCTGTTAAAAGATTCTCTGACTGCCAGAAAAAGAAGTATGTTTCTGCCATCACCAGTGGAAGTAAAAGCATTCTTCAGAATTTACAAACCCCTGAGGTAAAATTATATATAAAATAAGGAGGAAAGAGAAAAAGTTAGAAAGGATGACAGATCAACTTGCCTGTCTTCAAAGCTAAACAGTTCTGTCAAACCAGTCACCATTATGAAGTGCTTCCCCTTTCATTCAAGCATTACTGACTAAAACAACTTTGAAGAAAAAAAAAAAAAGAAGTGTAATTTCAAAGAAGAAAGAACTCCGGAACCCACTGTCATGGAAAGGATTTTGCTGCTGGGTATTCTGTGATGTGATTGTCACGTAGGCACAAGTCAAGCATGAACCTGTTCTTTCACACCAAAAGAGTTTTTGTTCTGTTAAGTATGAGTGCAGAAATCAATAAATGAGCCTGTTAAACCCTCTCTCTCACCAACTCCCATGTGCATATTTTTAAACATTAACTTCATGAACCCCAGACAGGAAACAAGCTTCAAGCTACTGCAAACACAATGTTTTAAAGCCACCTATAAATCATACAGTACTAAAAAGTAATCTACCCATTCTACATATCTTGATGGTTTTTTGTGTATAATAAAGGAAATTACTCTGTTCCCACATTCTTCATGTACACTGGCAGATTGGTAGCATCCCAGTGTCTCACACAGAAGTCCGAAATAATTTCACTGCAAATTTTTCTTCCACACCAATTATGTGGATCATTAATGCTGTGATCAGTTCTCATTATTCAAGGACTTCCTTTCCAGTCATCTCTGTGCCCACTGCATATGTGGCTGCTGGCTGATGTAGAACTTTCTGCTGTTTCTGCACCACTGCTCTACCTGTTTTTCATCGTAGGCATTTTCCCTTTCTTTTTCTCGAAAATGCATTTCTTGATTAATGGAAAAAAAAAAATGTAGTTATTGAATGAACATTTTAGAAATTTAAACTAAATATAAATAATTTAAATAATTTTATATACATAAATACTATATGTTTTTAATAGGTGCCATCCCTATACATTAACTAACATTACACCTTGTAATGAATATTACACATTCTGCTCTGCTGTTACTACTGCACTGCAGCTCTTGGAGATTATTCAGGAAGCAGAAATGATTTTCAATGCAACACTTACCTCCTTTGGGATAATGAGATGGTGAAAGACTAAAATCCATCTTATCCTTCAAATCTTCTTCATTCTCCTTCTCCCACTGCAAGCCTAGCTTTTCCCAATAAGTCCAAGCCAGTTTCCTAGGTAAAAAATAAAGAGTTTTATACCATCACACCCCCCTCCCCAAGAAAAACGTTATAAAATTAGACTTCTAGAAAAGCTGACTACTTAAATTCATCTGGAAGGATGGGAAGCATTCCTGCCATTTAACTGAGGCACATTAAGTAGAGAGTTTATACTTCTTTAGTACTCAGTGGACAGAGGTTTCCTCTTCCAAGGTATAATTCTGTCTCTACCTCTGTCTCTCTCACACTTACTTGGATATACCAGAAAAGGACAATATAACAAAAGTTACTGAAGATAATGCTAACATTTTGGGTTTAAGAAAAACAAACAAACAAACAAAAGTGGGGGTTTTGTCTTCCAAGCAAGACATCTGTGAACACAGGAACACTTCTGTGTGTGATATCTATTTGAGGAGGAAAAAACAAAAGAAGAAAGTAAGAAGAAAGTTGCACTTACTCATTTTCAGGAATTTCATCACTAAAGCTGCCAAGTAACAAAGGGATAAGCTTGTGAAAATATGAATATCTATCTCGTAGGTGCAACAACCATTCTCCAATGACAGTTGTTACAGCGTGCCGTACCTACAGGGACACAAAAAGACTATTTCATATGTGTCAGGGAAAAACCAGAAAAAAAAAATAGTATTTGCTTTCCCTATGGTAAAGTACATCAATACTCTCAGACAAAATTAGAAGAACACAAGATTTCCTCACTTGCAGGAAGCATCTTAAGTAACACCCAAGGTGTCACACTCCCTTGCTTTCTCACACTGCCTCAATCGCTCTGAGACTGCTGCACAAAAGCACAATTCTGAGAGGAAGACAAGGTACAGACCTAACTCAGAAAACTAAACTGTCGTGGTTAATATCCTCCTGAGAATGTAAGACACGTACATTTCTCTGGGATTTGTAGCTTTCCAAGCACATCCTGAGAAGAAGACTTCCTCTGTTCACTACAAAGGAAGGACTAATTTTAAAATTACTGCCTCAGCTGCATCTTATGAAGGCACCATACTGTGTTTGTTAAGCATCTGAAAAGGCCACAGAATCAAAGCCCAGAGAGATGTGACAGAGAATTTAAGACAGAATTTAAGGCACCCATCAAAACAAAAAGGTGCCTATAATCTTTAACACCTTGCAGAATTAGGCAGCAGCTGAACAGGCAGATGAACAGGTCACCAGCCTTGGGTTTGGACAGTTTACAGCTGATGAAACTTGTATGGGAAATTGTCCTGGTTTCAGCTGGGACAGAGTTCACCTTCTTCTTAGTAGCTGGTACAGTGCTGGTTTTTTTGAATAGTATGAGAATGATGCTGATAACACACTGATGTTTACCTGTTGCTAAGCAGAGTTTAATCTACATCAAGGACTTTTTGCGGTCTCAAGCTCTGCACAAACAGCTGGAGGGAGCAATGCCAGGACAGATGACCTGAACTGGGAGTGAGTGAGGGACTGTGTGATATTTAATTTCTGGCTGGGATTAAACCACAACAGACACATTTACTTATCTCAACTGAATGAATGAAAGTGGAAAACTGGGGGAGGAGGGAGGGAAACAAAAAAACACTCACCCCGAAACACATATAAAATAAATCCAGATTAAAGAAAGAAGAGAAGCACACCTTGGGAATCTCATCAAACAATCTCTGGGCCAGATGAGACAGAACATCATCCACAGACTTTCCATTCCCAAACTGTATCACTGCTCCAGTAGCCTGAATCACATCAACACGAACTCGGTAGTGCTGGTGTGAAATCGTCTGCATTAAAGGCTTTATCAGAGATTCTGACTGCATGTGGAAGTGCTCTGTTAGGGCAGAAACACAGAAACGTCAACCGTGTGAGCTGTCACAGTGAGTGGCCTCCCTGTCTGTGGCAGGGGGGGTGGAACTGGATGATCTTTAAGGTCCCTTCCCACCCAAACCATTCTGTGATTCTAAGTAGCAGGGACATATCCATGCCACCCACTCGCTGCCGGGACCAGCAGGACACGATGACATTTCGAGTGGACTAATGCATTTGGGTGGTGGATTAACGTTGTCCTGTGATTCTGTCTTTATGTGGAGCAACATCATTTCTGCAACACTACGAACAGCACTCTGACTAATGTTGCTGCATTTGAGTAGCAGGCGGATTTAACTCTACACTGTATCAGAGCTGAACTAACTCCTCCTCCCGCTGTCACCCAACATGTAACAGCTCAGCCTCCACTCCTAGCACGGCTCTTCCCCAGCAGACCCTCCAAATCCCATAAAGCACACCCGTAAAGGGTGTGTGCGACTTCTCATCGCTCTTCCTCTCTCCCCGTCCCTTCCCCGTCCCCCATCCCCCGGGATTCTCAGGCTCGCACCATCCCACCGCTCCCCCCGTGCCCGTCCCTGAGCCCCACCTGGCATGGCCTGGGCACAGGCCACCGCACACCTGCAGCTCTCCCGCCTGACCTCGGCATAGTGGTCGAGCAGGGTGGCCTGGAGGACGCGGGCGATGTCCCCGAGGTAGGGGGCGGCGGCGGGGCCGCAGCGCCGAAGGAGGAGGTGCAGAAGCTGGACGAGGCCGAGCCGCAGCTCCTCGCTGGGCTCGGCGGCCGGCGGCGGGCACAGCCGCTGCGCCAGCGCCGGCAGCAGCACGGGCAGCGCCTCGCAGGGCCGCTCGCCGCGGCTGAGCCCGTCCTGGAGCAGCTGCAGGGCGAGCTCCCGGCACCGCTCGGCCGCGTCCCCCGCCAGGCACCGCGACAGCGGCCGCAGCAGCCGCGCCGCGAACACCTCCTGCAGCACCGCGCCGGGCACCGCCCGGCCCCGCAGCTCGGCGCCGATGGCCTCCAGCGCCCGCAGCCGCGCCGCCCGCCCGCAGTCGGGCTGCTGCAGGAGACTGAGGGACCGCGACAGCGCCTGGCACAGCTCGGCCCCCTCGGGCCCCTCGGCAGCCGCCACCGCCATGTTCCGGCTCCGCGGGGGGGCGGCCGCGTCGCCAGGGACGCGCGGGGCGTTTGCGACCGCGGGAGCGCGCTTTACGGCAGTGCGGGCACTGCGGGGGGGGGACCGGGACAGGCAGAGAGTGAGGGGACAGGGACAGAGACACAGAGAGAGGGGACAGGGACAGAGCGGGGGGACAGGGACAGAGACACAGAGAGAGGGGACAGAGACACAGAGAGAGGGGACAGGGACAGAGCGGGGGGACAGGGATAGAGACACAGAGAGAGGGGACAGGGACAGAGACACAGAGAGAGGGGACAGGGACAGAGACACAGAGAGAGGGGACAGGGACAGAGCGGGGGGACAAAGAAGCGGGGCAGGGACAGTACGGGAAGGCAGGGCCGGGGGGACAGGGGCAGCAGGGGCTCAGCCCCTCCGCCGCTCTGCCCCGCGCTGAGGACACGTCCCAAAGCACCGGGGGGGCTGTGGTGGGGTCGGTGGGTTCAGCGAGTTCTGCGGGTTCTGCCGGTACCGGCGAGGGTGGGGGAGCCGCTCTTGGATCACGCGGGGAAAAAGGGATGCAAACCCGGGAGAGCCCCGCGGGCGGTGGAAGGGCTGAGGGGAACGGGAAAGCACCGGGCCACATTCACATGTATCGCTTCTCCCTCCTGTTTTCTCTTCGGAGGGATCAATGGGGCACTATCAGGAAGTCACCTGACTGCTGTAGCAGCCTTGTATACTTTGTAGTGTTTATTTGTATAAGTTAAGGTGTGTATATATTGTGTTCATATAACGTGATTTATACAACCTAATGTTTCGTGGTTTATTCTGGTGAATGCAATGAACACGCATCAAACTAAAGGGTCCTTTTCTTGAGCGATCATACTGAATTTAAAATACAACAAACTACAAAACTAATTAAAATTACTCTTCTGTAAAAGCCCTGTGTTTGCCGGCAGAGTTTATTCTCTTGTTATGCTGCTCCTAGCTGGAGTGTGAGCCTTCAGAGTCCTTTTTCACCCTTTATTCTGTGGGAACCACGAGTGTGAATTCCCTGGGAACAGAGGAAATACTAGCATGCATTGGAGTATTCCTCAGTGCACGTTCTGGTCCATGGCCACGTCCCAGCTGGGACCACGCTCCTCATGGCCTTGCATGGAGGTGCTGCTGGGTGTGATGGCTTTGCTCTAAATACCCAAGGATGGACCCGGTGATCCGCTCTTCCCAGTGCTTCCCGAGCTCTGGGTGCAGGAGGGCTGGTGGCTCACATGCCACGCTCCTGCCCCACTCAGTAGCCTGTCCTTTGTGGCCAGGCTGCCCTTCATGGTCAGCCCTTCCTCCTCCATGGTCAGGCCGCCTTTCTTGGCCACCCTCTATAGCCAGCCCCCCTTCCTGGCCAGCCCACATTTCATGACCAGGCTGTTGTCCTTCATGGCCATGCCTGTTCTTCACGCTCTGGCCGCCTTTCACACCTGGGCTGTTCTTTGTGACCACACGATTGTCCTTCATGGCCAAGTAGTCCTGCACGGCAGGACACCTTTCACATCCAGGCTGCCCTTTGCGACCAGGCTCGCCCTTCCTGGCCAGGCCATGTTTCATGGCCAGAGTGTTGTTCTTCATGGCCAAGCTGTCCTCCATGGAAAGGCCACCTTTCACATACAGGCTGTCCTTGGTGGCCGGGCCCATCCTTCGTGGCCAGACCATTGTCCATTGTGGCCAGCCCGTACTTCATGACCGGGGAGGCCTCCCTGCCCAGTCTGGCCTCAGGCTGGCGGTGTGGGGCAGCCAGGCCGGGCTCTGCCGTGCCCCCGTGTGCCCGTGCGGAGCGGAGCAGGTCGGAGCGGTGCAGAGCAGGTCCGTGCGGAGCGGGGCGAGTCGGTGCGGGTCGGTGCGGTGCAGAAGGGGTCGGTGCGGTGCAGAACGGGTCGATGCGGAGCAGAGCGGGTCGGATCGGGTCGATGCGGAGCAGAGCGGGTCGGATCGGGTCGGTGCGGTGCAGAGCGGGTCGGTGCGGTGCAGAGCGGGTCGGTGCGGTGGAGAAGGGGTCGGAGCGGTGGAGAAGGGGTCGATGCGGCGCAGAGCGGGTCGGAGCGGGTCGGTGCGGTGCAGAGCGGGTCGGTGCGGTGCAGAGCGGGTCGGTGCGGTGCAGAGCGGGTCGGTGCGGTGCAGAGCGGGTCGGTGCGGTGCAGAGCGGGTCGGTGCGGTGCAGAACGGGTCGGTGCGGTGCAGAGCGGGTCGGTGCGGTCCGTGCCGCCTCTCGGCGGAGGCGAGGCCGCGCCCGCCCGTGAGTGACGGCGGCGGCGGCACTTCCTGCGGGCGAGCGGCGGCGGCGGGGCCGGAGCCTTTGTGCGGGAGCGGGAGGAGAGTCCCCGTGGCGCCCCGCGGCCCCGGGCGGGCGGGCAGGAGCGGGGGAGGCGGCGGCTGCAGTGCGGATACCGGCGGGGGAGCCCCTTCCTCCTCCTCCAGCGCCGGGAAGGACAGAGGAGGCGCCGTCGCTCCGCCGGCTCCGGACACCAGGTATTTACCGGCCCCTGCGCTCCCGGGGCCCGGCGGCGGGGCAGGGGCTGCCGGTCCGCCCCGCCGGGCCCGGGGGATGCGCTGCCGCGGGGACCGCCCGGCCGGGCTCGGGGCGCCTCCCGGGGCCTGCCCCGCACAGCCCCGCACAGCCCCGGCCGCCCCTCGGGACCCACCGGCCCGGGCAGGAGCGGCTGGGACCGGGATAAAGCTGCCCCCGCGGTTTTGGGCTCGTAACAGAGCGGTCATATCCAGGCTGGTGGAAATAAAGAGGGTTTTGGGGTTGTTCTCCCCCCAGTCACCAAACTTCCCCTTAAGGGGCTCACTTCCCTTTGGGGGGCTCAATTCCCTTTTTGGGGGGCTCTGCCCGCTGCTCCCCAGCTCCCCCGGGGCCGGGAAGGGTCGCTCGCTGGGAAAGGGGGAGATGCTGAAACTGACGGAAAATCCCCCTGTATCGGAAAGCTGGGCTTGTGCTGACAGGGAAGGAGTTCCCATGGGGATGGAAAAACAAGGCTTTACGCCATCGTTTAATAGCTGTCTTTGAAACTGCTAGCCTTGTAGGGTTAATTGCACTGGATTTTTTTTCCCCCGAAGATTGATCGCTGTCTAGGAGTTAAAATCCTCTTTTTGTACTTACTGGGATGTTGATCTTACAAAGATAACACAGTTCAGCATTTCCACATACAACCCTAAAACATTAAAACATTCAGTTTCAATAGCTCTTGAATAGGCAACAGGCAATGGTAAAAATGTCTTTGCTCCTTCAGATCTCTCTGACAAAGGATTTTGGAACTGTCTCTTATCTCTTTCTTGCACCATTTTCTTACCTAGGTCTGTTTTCTGTTTACAAGCCTGAAGATGGCTGCTGCTGCTTCCTGCAATGTGGAAGAAGATGAGAGCCTGAAGGGATGTGAACTCTATGTTCAGAAGCACAACATCCAACAGATTTTAAAAGAGTGCATTGTAAACCTCTGCATAGCAAAGCCAGACCGACCCATGAAGTTCCTTAGAGAACACTTTGAAAAATTAGAAAAGGTCAGTGATTTTCAGGTGGCTTTCCATTTTCCATTTTTAAACTGAAAAAGATTGTTTAAAGAGTTTCAAATATTTTGGGACATTTTTTCTTTCAAATTTTAAATTATCACAAAACTGTGAAAAAGTAGACTGTTAGAAGAAAAAAACCCTAACCCTTCATTTGCTGATGTCTACTGTAATATTGGCTATTGTTTAGAATTTTCTGTGCAAGGTTATAATTCCTCATCAAACTGCACTTGTTAAAAATGACCCAAATTGTTATGACCATACTTTGTGTTGTGATATGTGATATCCCAAACTTTCATCTATGGGAAGAACCTTCCTATGGGTGCAAAACATGTTGTTCCCTGTTTATTCCAGTGTCACGTGATGCGATTTTCCCTTCCTCTAAAACTGAGCAAAATCAGGGAACCAGCAAGTTTTGAAAATCATTGAATAGTTTAATTTGCTGCTTAATTTCCCTGCTCTCTCCCATCTGCAGTACTTGTCCCAGGATTCTCTGACAAGGGATGCTTTCAGAGAGACCTCACTTGCTGTGACTGTCTTCTTAAGCACCGTAAAGGAGGAAACATTTTAGAACATTCCCAGACAAATTCTTACTAAAGCCCACGGGTGTCTTTGCAGGAAGAGCACGTTCTGCTAGCACAGCTTTTCCCTGGGGATGAAATTCATCCAGAAATAAATGGGAGCACAGGGCAAGTTGTTGGCTATACAAATCCTCAGCCTGCCAGAGAATTTATTCATATACTTAATTTAAGAGGAGGATTATTTGCCTTTTTTTGAAGGAAACATGTAAAGTTTGTAGGTTTAAGAGATAAGTTTTATGTAGTGTCTTCCTTTAAGAGGCAGAATTTTATAAGGACAGAGTAAGAACAATAATAAACAGTGAATAATACATAAAGCTGATATATTACCAGTGATGTGGAGCATTTTAAATATCCCACTGTCTGCTTTTCAGACACATTTTTGTAGAGGTGAGTATATGCCAAATTTACATAGTTTTAAAAGAACCCAATCATTGCATTGTGGTGGCAGCCCAGTAAGAATCCCTGGGACATCAGAGAGGGGTAGGAAGTACAAGATGGTTTTTAATTCCAATGCTTATTATTAAAAAGGGACAGTCTCTTAATTCTGCATATTCTAAAATTCTGACAGCCAAGACCCATTTCGAGAGAGTCAAAACTGTTGAATTTACTTTATTGTGTTATGAGTTATTATACATCATAATGACTGCAATTTTTGGCTTCCTGAAAAGAAGGATAAGCACCATTTTTGGGGAAAAAAAAAAAAAAAGTTAAAATACGATGTAGTATTTTGAAATAAGCTCCATAGCTAGAGGAATTGTACTTGGGGAGTTTGGCTTCACTGATCTAAACACACTACACAGAACTGAGGCAGGAAGGCAGTTGAGAAATTCTATATCTTTTCATTTAATCTCCTATTATTTCCCAAAGAACAGTGGATACCAGAATGCT